CCATCGAAGAAGCGATCTAAAGTCGATTAATAATCGATCGATCGGTCATTCGCGGATCGTTATAAAGATAATGAAAGAGCGAAGAGAAAAAAAAAAGTTTTTAACATTACAAGGTCATTCTAGCTTTGGTCAAGTCATACACATAACAACGCCAAAGCCACTTTTTTATGGCCGAATGAGATATTAAATACTAATAATAGCAACTTTGTTTGTTGGCTAACAATTAATTATTCTAAACTTTGCATATAACTTTAAGTTTCTATAAACGGGACCAAAGGTAACATTTCTTCTTCTTCTTCTTCTTCTTCTACTACGATATCGACAACGAATTTAGAAATATAGAATGTGTTATTTAAATGAATACGAAGTATAGTCTTTGATAAAGTCTGGTCAGTCGATTTATGACAATATAGCGGTTAGACGCAAATGATACGTTGTACGTCGCGTGAAAGAATAGCTTTGGAAATTTTCCTTTAATAATAGCAAAAAATTATTTTTCTTTTAAACTGTGCTACTAAAGATAAAACTCTGTAGTATGATGTATTACCTAACACATTTTCGATACAGAATATATACATTTCTGTTATTAACTTAGATCTATGCTATTTCTACCCTTTCGTTTTCTCTATGGAATATTTTTCTTTTTCTTTTTTCCCTTCAAAGAAAGTAGTATCATCATGCAACAAGTCGCATTCAAAGACGCAAGTCCTATTTTTTTTTTCTCTTTTTCTTTTGCTTTTTCCTTCTTCACGCCTACCCCCTCTCCCCCCCCCCCCCGTCAATCCTAAATAAATGATATATTTCATTGGATTCGTCGCTACCACAGTGTGGATGTGAATTTATACTCGAGTCGAGTTTACAATCATCTTTCACAGTCAGAAATTAATCTGACAGTATTATTAGGCACTGGACAAAATTACTGTATTGTATATAGGTATTTATATTATGTCCATTACTTTGCATAAACGATATAATAATACACTGAAACATTTATTTATATGCGTTATAATTTATAACCGATTAAAATGGTAACATTCGACATATGCATTTATCATTATTGCTTCCTCTTTATTCATATTATTTCAGATTTTTAATACCGCACACCTCATTACGAGGTGTTCACTTGCGCATTCGCACTTTGAGAATATTCGAGTCGAAATGTACTTTAGCGTGGCCTATTGAATACTCATTAACAACTACTAACGAATTGCATTAAAATAACGGATAAGAAGGAGTATCATATACAAGACAATAATTACTTCTATAATTAAGAAGTATAAAAAAGGAGAAAAAAAAATCTTAACGAGATAAATATCCTTTATGCGTCATAAAAATACAATAATTACTCTGCATCTAATCGCTTGATCGGATGGCATAAATTGTCAGAGATTTAAAATATAATAATAAAATGAAAAATGATTTCTTTCCTTCTATACGATCGAAAGAGTCTCGTTTATGTATATTGCCACTCGATAAGAATAAAATATATTTGACTTTGTATCACAGATTTTAAAAGTAAATGAGTTTCAAAACTATGTTTCATTCTCGAAAGTAAACGTAGGACTTAGAAAGTTGATGTCTACGAAATGTCTTTAGAATTCATAATACTTAATCGTCGGGTATAGGGGTATTGCAGTTCCCATGCCACAATTTTGTTTCCGAATTACAGAGAGAATAATTAGCGAATACATCCGCGTAACCACGGTCTCTCCACCATGTACACAATTGCTTGTTCCAGCCGCAATCAATGGTATAGATTAATTCGGGTCGTTCCATACCTAAAACCGTGTAAAAATCTTGATCGCCCAAGTGACCCTGAAATATACAAATTATTATTTATATATATTATCGAGTGTATTAACGCGTCATTGAATAATTTCCATACCAACCTTAAAATGATATTTATTCGTCATAGCGTCGACGCTATCCTTACTAACAATTTGTTCGTACAAGGAGGACTCGCGTAATCTTTCTAAATTGAATAGGACCATGCCGCTGTTAAAACCTGGAAAACCACCGGCCTGAGCTGGTTCCCCATATGCGGTTTTTGCGTGTTTGCTACGATATAAGTACAAAACATGCCGATATACGGGGGTTAATTCCGGTGCCAGACCAAAGAGTGCTTCGTCCCCAAAATTGTCGAACTCCTTGAACAATTCTTTTACGTCCCTACGAAATTTTGTATCCGCATCAAACATGGCTGCCACTTTTTGATCGACCGGTGCTATTCTATGCAATCCGAGGGAGAGAAAGAAAAGGGCGTCCGAGTAATAAGTTCCAGGTTTGCTACTGAAATGCGGCGACATAACAGAAACTATGTCCTCCAATTGTTGAGCCAGCTCGTGTACGTTATAATATTGCACCTATAAAGATGAATTGAAGATAGGACGCGATCATAATCAATAAAAATGATACGACTTACTTTCATAGTCTTTTTAGTGATCGAGACAACGCTTTGCACTACGTTCTCGGCGATGGGACGACTGTCATCGTCGGTTATCACGTGGAAAGCAATATCCACGGTGGCCAGTGCGAGTAAGGATTTCGTAAAAACGTAAAACTTCTTTCGCATCGGAGAATTCGTAGCGACTTTGGTGAATATACACCATACATTGTAATAAAACTCATTTCGAAAGGTGGTAACGATCGGAGGAATAGGGACGGCGATTTTAGTTGAGGTTAGTTCGACGATCGTATCGTTGATATCTCTTAAGGTGGTCGAAATGAATTCATTTGTTGACCCTTCGACATTTCGACTTTCTGCCTGGCCCACGATCCAACGTGCACCGTTCGTAGATGTTTGATAACAATAAAGTATCACCAAAAGCACCGCAATAATGGCGAGGTTCACTAGCACCTTCCGTAACAAGTGCATTTAACTGTTCATCTTTTTAGCTCAATCCTAAGATCAGCTCAACAACGTTGATCGGCGAGGATCTGACGACGAAGACGCAAACGTCCAAGGAATATCGAACATCGTATCAAAATATCGAAGATCCTTCTTTGCTCGACGAATTCTTCGAGTCCGCCATTGATCGTTCACGGTGAGGGAGACTGCGCGTCCCTGGTTGCGCTCTGTCAGCATACTTTGGCAACGCTGTCAGGGTACTTGGCTACAAATTTGCTCGCCCCGGTTCGAGACCAACCAAGGGCGATTTTTTCTTTTCTTTTTTCTCTTTCTTACCTCCTCCCGCTTACCGCCGTGCCAATCTCCATTAAAACAATCCAAAGAAAATATAAAATTATTTGAGCTTGGTCGTGTCCAAAGAGAGAATTATCTATGTCTATCTATACGGGAATGCAAAGGAATACTAATAATTCGAAGCAACTGGTACAAACCGTCAACGTACTTATTTCGTTTATTAACACTTGCCTGCACCGACCTGAATTTAACCGAGTAAACTAGTCGTCTAATGATCGTGCATACTAATCAAATTAAATTATTCGTTAATATTACATTAACTTCACGATGTTAACAACTATCGTATTCTTACAACTATCGTGTAAATATTAATTAATCGTATCGTTCCAAACATATTTATTTCAATAAATCAAACACATTTAGTTTAATCTTCGATGAAGGAAAGAGCTATTACGTTTGCCCATGAGATTACAAAAGAAAGATTAACTTGGCAGCCGTCAAAATTGCGACTTCCACGTTCCTCCTATTTATTTACATCACTGATCGCCATCTAGCTTTCGATCAATGTCACAAATCATTTCGAGAAGCGTCACTTTGTCGCCGACAATATGGCATACAACTCGAAGAAAGATAAACTCGAAAAATAATTTTCTTTAACAATTAGGCATTTTTTTCATCGACTTTTATAACATCGTACCATTCAGGAAATTCTACGAATTATTTTCAATGCGTTAACTATATAAATAATATTTATATAGTTTATATTTATATAATATTTTGAAAGGAGCAATACTAACACCGATTATTAATTATATAATCGTCGAGTTATCATCTAAACTTGTTCGGGTATTTTCGTATTTTTAACGAAATTCGTTAAAGTTATTTCTTATATGTCCGATCTAAGCGAAATAATATTTTTCAAGTAAAACACATTCTTTCGTGTTAATATTTCTTGTCCATAAATCCATCATCGCACGGAAATTCGTAATATCTCGTTGATATTGCTCGCAAGTACTATTATGATTATTGCATGTAAATATTATCATTTGGACGTGTACAGTTGTCCATATAAAAGGCATATAGGGAAGAAAGTATTTACGGAAAAAAGAATTAATAAGAACGTCTCGTAAACGTTTTACGTAAAAATAAATGGAGAAATTCTTGATATCGCAATGACGATACTCGCGATGGGTCGTTGCAGTAATCATCGACCCATTTCACCGGCTTCATCGTCAAAACAATTTTAATCGGTCATGACGGCAGAAGCAAAGGTTACCCAGAGAAAAATAAAATAATCGTCTAGTGATCTCATTCCCCCGAGTGTTATCGTTATAATTGTGAACGAAAAAGAAAACGAATGATAAGACGACATAATCACTCCTTTTCAAATAATTATCATTAAGGACTCGCAATCATTCTATAAAAGGACTCTTCTAATGTCATCTAATGTGCATTACTACGTGCAAACAAAAAAGAAACGTACAATTTGAATACGTGATTGACAAGCATCTTTATCGAGGACATTTATTTCTCCGTTTTGAATGCCTTCGCTTATACAACCATCGGAACGAACTACAAATAGATTTATGCAAAAATGCAGCACGCGCTTTTTTCCTCCGTGTATAGATATATATACATGCTAACGTGCGCAGGTATATACATATTACACATACATAACACGTCCCTTTTTATATATACATAATAAATACATACACAACATATGCGTGGTGCTCGTGCGTTCGGTTACCACGTATCTTCTTATTTCTGTGCGTGCTTATCGTCTCCTATACGTACGCATATGTATATATGTATATGCACACCCATGACGATCTAAAAACTATTTATTTATATACAAAACTAAGATTCAAAATTCTGCACTCTTTATATATATATACATTCGTTTCAAAAGTGTACGTAGGTGAGAACATTGTAACGAGCCATTCTCGTTCGTTTTCAATAGACTTTGAACAAGGTATAATTCTCGTTCATTTGAAGGACAAGAAAAGGGTAAGAAAAAGGAAACGAACAGGGGCGGGGAGAGAGAGAGAGAGAGAGGAAATCAACGAATGTGCGGAAAATTAATTTTCTTGGTCGTTCCACGTAACGTGGTAATATTTCGCCATCTAGTACGATTAACGATTTAACGATAGAACGTAAATGTATGTGTGAACGCGCGCGCGCGCGCGCGTGTGTGTATGTGTGTGTATGTGTGCGCGTATTACATTTGTTTACATGTACGTGCGTATGCATGTATTTACACATATAGTACATATTTAAAAAAGATCGATCGGTGGGAATGAAGAATCGATAAAGTTACTCTTTCGTGTCTCGCAAAATGGAGGACATTTCAAATCGTCGCGTTTTGTCTTGCAAACTTTTGTAAAGATATTTCACACGAAGAAATGATCAATAGCGTTTCGAGAGTCTTGAAAAACTTATAGAAAAAAAAATAACGTCTCGTACGACTTATACTATTTTTAGAAAAAGTGAAAAATCTATAAGAATCTTACAATTTACTTATCGAGTCTATATATCATTGTTTCGTCAATAAAATATAGTATCGCTAACGCACATTCATTATGCATGTATTGCTTAAGAGATACGCATGTAAAAGATATTGGTACACGCTTGTTAACTCCTTACCCCTAAATTGACATTTATTAATACGCTATTGATATGAGATTTTAGATTGGCACTGTAACTTTCGAAGAAACTTTTCATCTTGTTCAAATAAATCAATCAATCAATCAATTAAATGTTTAACTTTATAAAAGAGCACCCAATATGAAAAGAAACGTTATCGAAGAAGCTGCAAATGAATAAGCGACTTTCTTTACGATACCAAGTATACCAATGATATTTGACGGAAGATGTTATTAAGATGACAAAAATTCTTTACAATTGATCTTTCTTAAAAATTATTCTTCTTTACCACCGTCTCACACGACTGATTGATATCTGATCATTTTAAAGATTAAAGATAAAAAATAATTACGAAGAGAAAAGAGATATAAAGAGGAAGATCGATCTCGATCATTACGGGAAAATTCTTTCGAAAGAAATATTATTATTGTTATTTTATAGCGCGTTCCGAATTTTTTTTACGTTTTCTCTTGAAAAATGTAAAATCCAATGGAAAAAAAAGGAACATACGCACGATCTATTCTAAACTGCTCTCATTTTTTTTTCTTATTCTCTCCTTCTTCCTCTTCCTTGGACAACGTATAACATCCAAGATCGAACGACTAAGTTCTACTCCTCGTAAATCTATGGAGCCTCTTCCATCGCCTGGATACAACGGCAGCGAGTTCTTTGGACACGTTTACTTTTTATTATCATGATCTCTCATAGAAACGTAGATCAGACTAAAAGTTGTCTACTAATTCCTAAGAAAACATCGATCTCGATTTCGAGAAAAGGAAAAGAGATACTATGTGGCTTAAAGTTGAAAAATTCAGTTCCATTTTCTAACTAATTATCTATTATCTTGTACGTATTATGTATATTTATACGTCCGTCAGACGTCGTGGAAGTATCATCGTACTCGCGACCGTACCGGTGAATATGATTAACGAAGAAATTAAAATTTATTAAACGATCGACGTTTTTTTTTATAAAAATGACAGTCTCCTCAGGATATCGATATCCATAGATCGCATACGTTTTGTTTCTTTTGCAGTACACGATACAGTGTTACGATCATTGTTACTCTTGTTTCCCTATATTTCTCATCCTTCCTATACTTCCTTCTTTCTCTCTCATCGTCTATCGTCGTATTCTTACTAAAAGTAGATTATTATAAACCTGGCGTTTGATCCGATTAGTCATAGATATCAGATCGGCACGCTAACGTATTTTAAATAAAATACGTATATACTACAAAAGTACCGTTTACGATTCTAACGTTGCGTTAGTCGGTGTACTCGTCGGTGTATAAGACATCTCCATGGTGATACCTGCACTACTGCGCCGGAATTTCGATTGTATTTCGGTGCTATTACGCGGCTTACGCTTGCTAAGATGTCTCTCGACCCATTTTAGCATGGTTAGAACCGAATCCGTACTTGGCAAACGTCTTTCAGCCGACGTACGTATAATGTGAGACGAAGCTACGCGGAAGGTAGCAGCCATACCCTTTAGAGCCTGTAACAAAGTTTATCTTTGTATGTACGATCGAGCTAGTAAAATTGTTAAATTGTTTAATTTAAGAGAAAGAAAAAAAGAAAAAAACATATGAGGAACGAATGGACTAACTTTCATAGCATCCTCGTCGGTGGCATCGTCACCGGCGTAAATGATCCTTATTCGTTCGCTCCAATCCAAACCAAAAGCCGTACGGAGAATATAGATCGAGGCTCGCCCTTTGTTCCATTCGACGGGGGGCTTCGCCTCTATGGCACAATGCGCCGAGCATGCCTTAAAACCGGACTTCTCGATCAATTTCTTTGCCTGATTCACCATTTCGGGACGTCTTTCCATCGGTGTCTCGCGATAGTGGAACGTTAGCAAGGCTCCTTTGTTTTCTACCCATGCACCGTCCTTGCACAGCTTCATTCATAGACAAATTCGTACATAAGGGAAAAGAAGAGGAGTGGGGGAGGGAGAGGCCAAAAAAAGGATCGTTAGAGATCTATAAAGTAAAGACTTATTTATTTTTTAAAAAGAAAGAGAAAAGAGCGTACCTGATCCTGCAGAGCTTGCATCAAATTGGCCACCTTTCCTTCGCATTCGATCGGCATAGGATGAACGAATTTGCTTCCATCGGGATGTAAAATCTCCAAGCCGTGATTACCGGCGTAAGTGATACCCTCTATACCGACCATTGATTTAACATTATTCACATTTCTACCAGATATAATGGCTATATAAACGTCGGACATGTTGGAGAGTCTGTGCAAGACGTTCTTCGTTTCCAACGGCAAGATCGCCAAATCCGGATGAGTTGCGATCGGTGCCAAGGTCCCGTCGTAATCCAATAAGAGGGCCAACTTGTGATTATCGCCGATATACCTAGGGGACATGTGTCATCACTGGATCGTTACCTGGCTTTCATCATGAGTCGTGGGTAGTCGCATTCGCAGGCGCGGGCCCGGCACCACCTTCCCGGCATAAAAAGCCCCGCAAAGATCCGTTCGTGTATCGTACAATTTTCTAAGGGAGGCCGAAAGTAATAACGGAAGCGCTGGCAAAAGTTTCGTAATTACGGTGCGACGCAACCCAAACTCATGCTGATTTTTTTTCCTTTTAGATAAGAATGTTCCTTTTATTGTTTTCTTTCTACCCGCACCGCCGCTTCCCCCCTCCTGTTTCCTCCCAAAAAACGCTGGATTTTTCGATAGCAACGTGAATACGTTACCAAGCGGAGTCTTATGTATATACGATGTATTTATATACAAGACATAGAGCTCCTCGTAAGAGGCTAACCGATTGAGAAGCGCATGCGGGCACGGTCGGGCCCAGTGTCATGCACGTCGCATAACGCTATAATGAATACCTACTTGCTCAGGTAATCGTCAAAATCGTCCATCGTTACCGGTTGCATCGTCGTAGCACCGACGGAATCGTGCTCCTCGAGCGAGCCCATGACTTGAAGGAAGGATTTCATCCAATAATTGACGTCGTAAATCCTTTCACGACGGCGCAAATGATTCATCCTCAGAGTACGTTCGTCCTCCGGCATAGTGAGAGCCCTGTCAAAGTACGTTAAGAGGAACTTTAGAGAAAAGAAAAAGAAAAATGATTGAAGGAGAAAATAAATTTTACCGATGGATCACTTCGGCGGCCTCGTCTATCTCATAAGGATTACATATCAAGGCCTCGTGCATCATTTCGCCGGCACCGGCAAAGGGTGATACTATCAAAACGCCCGGCGGTGTGTTTATCTGACAAGCAACGAATTCCTTCGCAACCAAATTCATGCCGTCCCTGAGAGGGGTGACCAGAGCAACGGCGGCATCCCTGTAAAAAGCCGCCAATTCGTCCTGACTGACGCAACCGTAGATATAACGTATCGGCGACCAATTTGGCGTGGTAAAACGTCCGTTTATACATCCTATCAATTGATCCATCTCGAGCTTCAAATCTTGATACTCTCGCACATCCGTTCTCGAAGGTACAGCGATTTGTAGCATGGTTACCTGATAAATCAAAATATTCCAATCGTCGGTTATATGCGTACGCATATATATATATATTGTAAATAATATACCGTCTATGCGCGTTCTCGTATCACCTGTTCACGATGTTCCGGATGCTTTTCCAGCAACATTTCGAAGGCCTTCAAACGATGTACAAGACCCTTTGTATAATCGAGTCTATCGACACCCAGGACAATCTTTTGATTGGTAAGCATAACCTTGTTGGCCGTTTCAGCGAGAGAGACGAATCTATCGAAGGGTATGCCGATTGGAAGTGGCCGTACGCGTACGGTTCTACCACCGTGCTCGACCAACAAATTTTTACGATCGACCCTGCAGCCGAGGCTCCTTTGACAACAGTCGACGAAATTCAAGCAGTAATCTTGAATATGAAAACCGACCATGTCGCAACCTAGCATACCCTGAAGTATCTCGTCCGCCCATGGGAAGAGTCGAAATATGTCCCAGGGTGGAAATGGAATGTGAAGGAAAAAGCCCAACTTCAATTTCAGATTCTTTTCATCAGCGACCTGTCTGACCCAATTGGCTGCCGTCATCAAGTGATAATCGTGAATCCAAACAAGAGGAGTACCATTATTCTGATTCGCTTGTTCCTTGTGGATCTGCTCCAAAGCGCCGACCTGACGAACGCGACAAAAGGTAAAAATGAAAACCTTCCTTTCTCTAGCTCTCTAGCTCTCTGCTATTTGTTAACTCACCGTCTTGGCTGCAAATTTTTCGTTGACAGCCGAATAAGCGCGCCAATGATCGGCGATAAAAGTCGCCCTATCCGGCATCGAGTGAAATAGCGGCCAAAACGTTCCGTTACAGCACCCATTGTAGTAAGAATCGAAGATACCAGGATCTACGTGTACGGCTACGACCTAAAGTAAAAAGAAAAGAAACATGTATGAAGCATAAGCAACAATGAGATACCCTCGCATAATATTTTCAATTCGATTCGTTCGAAGGCAAAATGTTTGTTTTATCCGACTATCACGTGATAATACTCGCATCATGCTCGCGATGCGTGGACCGCGAAATTTTGATGAAACGATCGAACGAATCGAATGAAAAGGATAGCACGCTTCTCTTTCACTCTCTCGCTCGCTCGCTCGCTTTTGTATCGCGTTTAAAAAACGATAACCCCTGCCGACCTCGCGATACGATTATCGTGACACGAGATCGTTGCTTCATACCCATTCCCGTGTCTTCGTTTTCTTCTTCTGCGTTATAAGCGAATTTTTATCGTTTCTTTCAATTATTCGAGTTCAAGTTCGATATCTCGTACAAACGCGGGTTAAGCGCACGGTTAGATTAGATCGACCTCTCCCATCTCAATCCATCGTCTCTGTATCATTTGTAATTCGTTATTACCTAACTGTACTTGGAATCTGTCGAGTTGACCCGTGCTCTTTTATAATCTCATACCGATGGAAGAGAAAATTGACGTATCGATCGATAGAAAATTAACTTGGCAATCGTCATATCCGACGTACCAAATCAATTTGGATAACTTTTGTACCCTTTTTTGCGACTACGCAGGCCGCTCAGAGGAGAAAACAAACGCGGTTTTATCGGTAATCGCGCGTGGGTGTACGTCAACCGGTCACGTTGTCCAACACAACGATAAGAATAATGGATATAAGAAAGAAGAAGGCGAAGAAGAAAAAGAAGGAGAAGGAGGAGAAGGAGGAGTTAAACGATCGTCGGCTAGTAATTAATGCGAATCGTCGAGGGGGCTCGTTAACACGAATCGTTTGCAAAGAGTTCGTATCTCGTCTAATGCTCCATCGCGTACCTCTTTTATCTCTCTTTTATCATCTCAGGCTCTCCTTTGTCTTCTACTCGTGTCTCGTCTACCACAAATGTCTATTCTCGTTCGGAGATGAAAACACGTGTTTATATATTATATCCGCATATGCACGTAGGAGAAAAATATGGGAGAAAGAGTAAGAACATCAAAGAACGTAGGGGGAAAAATAAGAAAAGAAAAAAGAAAATAGTAAAAGAATAGCAATGCCAAGGGCGAGCCAGTACCTCATTGTCTATATTTGAATCGTTGCATACTAATCGTCGACGCGGACGTCACCGACGCGTTAACGTTTCGAGTTAAATACGAGAAGGAGATCTAATTGTTTCGAAATAACGACCTACGTTGAAGAACGCACTTTTTTTTTTCACGCGAGCATACTACAAGAGAATCGAACTCGAGCGCGCGCGAAGGTAAATGGAATTATTTTTAGCGATCTATGCAGCACGTTATTCGAGTCCGAGGACGAAAATAAATTCGTCCGTAATAATATCTTAAGAGTGAATAAATCTATTTCACGATCTCGTGAACCTGTTTCTACGAGTTCAAACTATTTCTTCACGATCGCAATGAACGTGCATTTTCTTCTTCTTCCTCTTCCTCTACGTACGAACATGGAACGATTCGATGAAACGTTCGATCGATATTTTTATTCGTACGAGTCGTACCTTACTAGATAGAAGACCGGCTGTTGGCGTTCGATCGTTTGGATCCGATTCTGGTATCGGTTCATTAAGATTCTCCATATGCATGCCAGGCCATCCGACCCAAACTCCATTTCCACTTATTACGACCGGTGCAACCGCAGTTACGAGACCACCGGCGCTAGAAGAAACCGTAAGAGTACAAAGTCAATAATTAAGGATTAAACGAAATCATATCATGGAGAGATTTAAGTGTTTATTTTTTTATTTATATCGATAAGACATCGTGACTGAAAAACGTTTCGAGATGAACAAAAAGCAAGAAAAAAACAAAAAAAAAAGAATCTTTATCCATGCTCCAGACACGCGTTACAATGTCGCGTTAAATGCAAAATCAATAATAATAAATCCAAGGGATCGCCTACGTAATACGTATCGGTCGACGAAGATAGTAGTAAATGTTTTCTAGAGCATCTTTGAAAATATATACCCGATAAGATACGTATCCAAAGTTTGGAATATATATCTCTCGTTCTCTTCTCTCTTATAACAGGAAACAAATGACTCTTTTATATCGCCAACTTTCCGCACGACTTTTGAAACGCACGTGTGCTATGCAATCGACATTGTATGATTGCGCTTGTACTATCATCGACTCCTGAAATTTCGATCAACGTGACCTCTCGACTAGTCTCTAAACTTCGAGAGAGAGAGAGAGAGAGAGAGAAAAAAAAAAGTAAACAGCGAGTATGTATTTAAAAATTTTCTTTTTTCTTTCATTTTCAACTTTGACACTTAGCAACGTTTACAACATAGATACTGTAACATATGTAAGAAATTTGATGTTATATCGTACAACGGATAGGCATTAGAGGATGAAAGCGTATTTCGAAATTTAAACGAAGGAAAACGACGTCAAAATCCGACTCTCATTCCTTATCGTTAACGTCCTCTAGCGAAATTTCAATTTTTATCTCTGAATGAACATAAAAGCAGAAAACTCTGCTTCCTCGATAAATCAATGGAATTGCACGTGAATAATTACGATGAAATTCGTGGTTCAACGAACGTACATACATACGTATATCGCAAAAAAAAAAAAGAAAAAAAAAAGGAAGGAAAAAGAAAGAGAAGAACAAGACGATCGAAAGTGAAAATTTATTTTTCTTATCTCGGTTATTAGTTCCATTAGACAACGATTTCTAACGAAAACTATAGTCATGACCAAAAATAAATGTTTAAATAAAAAGAAAGACTCAATAATAGCTGAAGAAGCAGAGCGAATCTCGAGATCGGTGTATCTTCTTTTTTTATATCGATTACGCTCCCTTCGTTTCCCTTACGCAATAACGTATATTTCGTGACAAATTAGTCATGTTAATTTGGCGTCATTTCAAAAAATCATTCTAACGTTTCTCAACGTTGATCGATCGTTACGTCAAACGAAGACCGGAAAGAGCGAATTTACGATAGGATCGCGTATATACCAGATAAAAAGGATCTAGGAAAAAATACGAGCGTCCTTCATCGATGAACGAACAACATTTGCCACCCGAGTCTCGAGTCTCATGTTTCTCCTCGCTCGAAAGATGAACCGTTGTTATTTGTTCGATCGTGCTTTAGAGAAAAAGCGATGAAAAAAGAAGGAAAAAAGAAAAAAAGAGCGATATAAAGAAACGCGTTTATCGGAAGAAAGGGTGTAGGTGTTGTTTTCGTTGTTTGCACCCATAGAAGAATAGATCGATGGATGCAAGGACAAACGCTGTGCATAGTACAACTAACCTGGCCTTTCGTTCCAGTTTACCAGACAGCTCGTTTCTCTTCAGCACAAACGGCAACCTGTTGCTCACTACGATCATGCTTCCGTTGGAGGTGAAGCTTCCCGTTTCTGTGAACATGCCGTCGAGCATATTCTTTTTCGTCGTCGATATTTTGGACATCGCGTTGACTTTCTCAAAGGTTAAAGAAAACTGAACCCAAAGCGGGAGTAAGGTATAAGGGAAAAAGAAATATAGAGAGGAACAAGTTCCCCTTGGTATATAATTGTGAAGAGAAAAGAGGGATAAAAAGGAAAAGAAGAAGAAAAAAAAACAAGCAGAGAAAGAGCGCGTTTAAACTCGCGTCGTAATGCTTCACTCGCGTATGCGGTTAAAAGAGTAAGGTGTCGCGTATACGCGCGTTTCCGCGATCTCCTTTGTCACGTGTCCGCTCGTTTCTTTCTTGCGCGAGATCGCGCACACTTCTCCTCGTCTATTCTTTGCACTAGTGTCTACGTATATCCGCGTAACCGTGTATATATATACACGAGAGGCGACGCAACTCTGGTTGAGGTGCACCGAAGGACGTCTCTCTCTCTCTCTCTCTCTCTCTCTCTCTCTCTCTCTCTCTCTCTCTCTCTCTCTCTCTCTCTCTCTCTCTCTAATCTCTATTCCCCTCTTTTTATTTTCTCCCAAAGTGCTGCTGCTGTTGTTGCTGGTGGTGCTGCTGGTGGTGGTGGTGATGATGGTGGTGGTGGTGGTGGTGGTGGTGGTGGTGGTGGTGGTGGCGGTGGTGATGCTGTTGCTCTTGTCGATGTTGCGTTGCCGATAATCAACGGGCTAAAGCGCTATGATCGGTCAGCTTCTTTGATTATCTCGTGATAGAAAAAGTGATAGGGAACGAGTAGAGAGTGAGAGCGATAGGAGAATCCGACGACGAACCGGAAAAATGAGAAAAGTTATTTGGGGTTGCGTTTGCGATCGATTGGACGCTTAACGATGGAGTGGGAGGAAAGAGAGAGAAAGAGAGAGAGAGAGAGAGGGAGAGAGGGAGGGAGGGAGAGAGAGGGAGGGAGGAAGGAGAGGGATGTAAAGAAAAAAGCATTTAACCGCGATGCCTGATCGAAGCGGTACCGAAGCAAAGGCCGAATGTGGTTTATTTGTTTTCGCGAATTGGTCCAAAGTACGTTCTTCCTAGGACGATATCAATGACGGGGCCGCGACCTCTCGACCACCGCCGCTTCCTTCACCGTAAACACGAGAAAGTACCCTCCTCGCCTCATCGCTCCTACGCATTTCATCGAAAAGAAACTCGCCTACCACCGAGAAACGTAGGGTTATCTCTCTCTCTATCGCGATTCATTCTCGAAAAGCACGTTCCTCCTCGTGTTTTTCATCTTTCCCGTTCTCTTTCTCTCTCTCTCTCCCTCTCTCTCTCCCTCTCCCTCTCTCTCTTTCTCTCTCGAAATGATGATAATTACGTCGACGATGTTGACGATGAAGATGATATTTCCGATTCTTTTTCTGGTTCCTATAAAAGAATACGAGTTTCTTTCGAAATCATACGCAACGCGAAAAAGAGATGAATAGAGATGGTTATTACCGAAATGAACGATGGTGGGCACGATAAAAGGGCACGAGTAAAAAGAAGAAAATGAGAGAAAACGAAATTGTACATAAATCGTGCCGCCGATAGATAAGACAATTTAAATGCGAAAAATGAGAGAGAATATAAAGACTCGACGATAAGACGAGAAGACTCGACGAATCAAAATGATGAAACTGAACTAGGTACAATAAACTAATATATTCGTCTTTATCTCGAACGTTATCGTTCCTTCGATAGACGCACCTAAACTTTCAACTTTGTTTTGGAATTTCAGTAGAAATCGTTACGTTTGCTCCTACTCCTGCAGAAAGATCGATTTTTTCTACTTGCGCTTGTCTCCTCTCTCTCTCTCTCTCTCCCTCGATTTCTTTCGTCAAATTTACTGATAGTCATTGACGTCAATAATAAATGTGGCCAAGACGTCGTGGATTCCAGAGTCCAAGACTCGGAATCGATCTCTCTTTGTCTCTTCTAAAACCCAGTGAAAAGAGCGATAACGGCTATCGAATCTAGCTCGAACGCCACGGGGTCGTCATCGTTAGAATCAGAATCCGATTATCCATTCGAGATCTTTACTTTCTTAGAAAATGAAACTGGCTCGATTCAAAGTTCGTTCTAAGGATGACTATACCCTGCATATGACATATATGCTTAAAGAGCGGGAGGGGAGGGCGGAGAGAGCATTGTTTAACGACAAATAAAAAAAAAGAATCGAACTCGCTGGTCTACGTTTATCGTCGACTTGTACGCGAGTGGCATCGCTATCGCGTACAAGTGCAAACAAATGGTTTACATGCACTTATTTCTAATCATTTATAATACGCGTTTGTAGGTAATATAATGTTCGTACATGAAATAATAAATCAAAGAGATCAACTCGATTGATATAAATATTGCGATGACAAGAAAAAAAATAAAGAGGACAAAAATGATGAGAGAGAAAGAGAGAGAGAGAAAGAGAGAGAGACAAAGGCGTAATAAAAATTCCGACGATGCGCGATAATGATCCAGAGGAAAGAGGAAGCGAGTATATTATTGTCAGCTCTTGATCACGTGCTATTGTCGTTAATTAATCAGCCGCGATCAAATGCCGAGGAAGATTGGCACGCGTCGCGCACGCGGTGTCACGCTCGCCCATCTTTCTTGTCCCGCCTTTTGGCTTCGCCCCTTCCTCTCGCCTGTCCCTTGCTTCTTATTACCGTAGATCTGAAAAACATAAACGTGCGATCGATCTCTTCTCTTGGACTCGCGTAAGCGACCCGCGCGATACTCCCAAACGATATTTTTTTTCCTCTCCTTCCTGCTCCGCTGACTCTATCCAACGTCGATATAGTTCAGCTATCGTGTACATGATAAACGATTCGAAAAATGTATCAAACTATATTCATCCAAAGGTATTAGCCAATATCGAGTACAATTTTTCCATTAACTCGATCTCGAGGATAACGTAATTTTGGTTTGAAAAGCACCGTCAGAGCAAAATCCTAAAAAGAAGAAGAAGCACACACGATTTCTTACCATTTCGATGGATATTTTAATCCATCTCGAGAGTTCATAAACTGAAGGTATTATTTACTTTCCTACCATTTTAGACGTGCGTGACAAACGTCCAGCGAAACTTACGTTTGCGTTCGGAAATTTTCGCTCGAGCTCGGCCAGCATCGTAGGGTATCGATGAAAATGAGCGCGAAATCAAACGCGGTACGAACGACGTTTCTAACGTACGTACACCCCCACGACACCTTTCGTCAATGTTTCGCTAAAAACACTGCTGCTTCGACCTCGCTTTTCCCCTCCATTCCCCTCGACACCGCCGAATGCTTTTTCCTTATATCTATTTTCCCTGCAATATGCAATTTTTTTTTATGCGCGATAACTAATATTATTACTAGTGTCGTTAATAGTTAACGCGTAGTATTAACGTAACGCGCGAGATATCGATCAGAAATTCAAGGTTATCCTTTGGAAAAGAGAAGTATCTCGTTAATGATTCGTCGTCCATCGCGCGAAATATGAAAAAGGAAATATTAATGTTAGGGAAAAGCCGATATTAAGAACGTTAAGCTTAGCCATGGTCGAGAGATAATGCTCGTTTACGAGCAAAAAGGGAGCAAGGGGAGATGACGTGATCCATGCGAAAATTATTTCGCAATTATCGCAGCCATCGCCGGTATGCCATTCGATCGAGAGAACAATTCTTTACGTGGATCTCGAAGAGGAAACACCTAGTAGCTAGCTCGTGTGTCAAAGAACTAACGATTCTTCTTACCGTTAAAGCCGCGCTGATTCGTCGTTTTTGCCCTTTTGTCACCTCGAAAAACCGATCACGATTCCTTTATTCGCGCATCTACGCGAAACGTTCCGAAAATTTGACACCGACCGGTCTAGTGTTTTTACGAGAGCGTCGTAGACGCGTACCTATCATTCAAAGAGAAGGTACCACTTCTGCGCTACTACTTTCTTCCCGAAGTTTCGAAGCAACCTAAACCCTCGTCCCTATCGATTCTACGTCTTTCACGACAGGTTGGCCAATCCTCGTCTATCCCAACGCTCCGTACGTCTATTTTAGATTCCCTAGAAAGGCTAGTCAAGGGCAACGTTCCCTATACCTCTTCGATTTGCCGAGAGCCTGATCGACAGGTGTTACGCTTGACCAATCGGCACTTTTCTTTTTTCCCTCTTCTTCTTCTTCTATACCGATTGGTCCTTAATATTACCCTTCGTTATTCTATCTCTCTATCTCTCTCTCTCTTTCTTTTATTCTTTGAAAATGCATTTCTCCTCGAGAGAAAGTTTTCGATTTTATGCCGTTAAACGTATCTTTAACCTCTCGTTAATCTCGGACCTAAAGTTTGGATCGATAGATCGATCGATCGATCGATCGATCGATCGAACCGACTTATTCGTCTCTCCTTTCAAATGTTGCAAACACAAAATATGATTTTCACGAGTTATTATGATATATTGCAATTTTCGGATTTTCAAATCTTATTATAATTTATTGAAATGCATTGGCTTTCTTTTCTTTGCCATTTCAAATTCACTCGACTCGTTCGAACGATCCTGAAGTTAGCGATTAGAGAATCTTAGAGAATCAGCGGGAAAATTCAAAAGAGCTCGACTGTCGCGCCCAAATTATCGGTCGTCGCCGTTCTTTCATTTCTTTCCGATTTACTCTTTTTCTTTTCTTTTTTTCTCTCTCTCTCTCACTCTTTTCTCTGTTCCCCCTAAACTATCTATCGATATCGTTAACACGCGATATTATTAGTTATTATACAAAACGAACGTATATAAACATATATATATATATATATGTATGTATGTATGTATGTATGTATGTATGTATGTATGTATGTATGTATGATGATGATGGTATGATGTATGTTTATCGGTCGCTCGGTTAGGATCGACTTTTCCCGTGATATTATTTGAAATATGATCGTCGCAGCAACGGTTCATCGACGTACAAAAGCCCTAACCTTTTTTACTCATCCCAACTGAGAGAACGATTATCCATCGCGAAATAAATTTCGAAGAGGGAAAATAATATTTGACCGAAATAAATGAGCTAGAATCATAAAGCATTTCGATCACACGTCTTCGCGCCTGCAGTTCCTAGTCGAATAGTATCCTCTCTTAAAAAAAATGAATTTTCTTTGTGTCATATGTAGTGATTTACTTACACAACCTGATGATATTTTCTATACAAGATGCGGACATGTCTTTCATTTTAAATGCCTTAGCCAGTGGCTAGAGAGGTAAGCACCTCCTCTAGAACACATAAATAAATCCAAGGTCCAAGTCCGAAACGATTCTCTTACATATTTTCATCATTTTATTCTATAGGTCAAAAACTTGCCCACAATGCAGGGAAAAAGTAACGCACAATCGTATTCACAGATTATATCTGACTGTGTCGAACGAAACTACGGTGGAAAGTGATCCTTATACCCAAGATAAACTTGCGAGCCTCAAGTTTCAAATTCTGTTGAAAGAAAAGGATATAAATTATTTCATGTCCAAAAACAGTACGTTAGAGAAACAAAATGCAGGCCTGAGAAGGGAGGTAAGGAAATTGGAGAGCGAAACCAAAGAGAAAAACTCTGCTATATATGCGTTGAAGGAACAGACCAAATATTTTAAGGAACAACTCGTGGGATATGAAAGCGCCAAGAAAGAAATTATACAATTGAAGAAAAAACTTGAAGAACTGAGAAAGTAACAAAGTTTATTAAACTTTAATTTTATGCTTCTTTTCCAATCCAATATGGATTTTATCTAGAATCTTTCTTATATCCTTCGTTATGCTTTCTTTTAGTATACAAATGTTATTGGACGCACCAATTGAAGACGTTAAAGATATAATTGGAAGGGATAAAGATCCTGCTACTCTTCTGACATACATAACCATCATGAAAAAGTAAGCATTTGGAAATATTCGCGCGTCCAAGGAATCTCTCTCCCTCTCCCTCTCTCTTATTTCCTTGTTATACTATTGTCTCTTATTTCTTGCTTTAGAGAAACTATATCTAATTTGAACAAGATCAAATGTTTAAAGATTAAAATGAAGAATCTTCAAGATGAACATGCCAAATTAACTATGACATCTTCGCAATGTTATTCCAACAACAGGTACTATAATGCATTTCCCTCTATATAGAGCGAACTCTCTTTCATTGGGTAATTTTGTGAAGGAAGGAAAAGAGGAGAGGAAAAAAAAAGAAAGGAAAGAAGAAGAAACAGCTAAAACGGCTTAAAACTTTAATCTTTTCAGATTACTCAAAGAGTTTACAAATTGTAAAAAAGAAAAATTGGCGTTACAAACGAGAGTCAACGAACTCGAAAAGATTCTTGGTATTGCAGAAAGTTCCGATCATGTGGTTACGGGCACACTGAAAAATGTCAAAGGAAAAGATGAAGTTACGCAAGAGGAATGCTTGGTTAGTGCTACATTAAAAAAATCAGTTGTTAAGAAGAGGACGCATACAATTTCTTCTCCGACAAAGCATAACAGAGAACATGTATGTCAACAAGAGAAAAGAACGTTATTTACAATTTATTATTTTCATTACTCATTTTTCTATCGTTATAATTTCTTTATCTTCCTTAAACAGATTGTATCAAAGAGTAATATAGAAAAGAACGATGCGTCTTCTTCGATCGTAGAGATAATGGATAATGAATGCTCGAAAAACTATTCCAAATTAAGGAACTTGGACAGTGATACTTCTATACCCTTAAAGAAAACTAGGTTCTCTAAAATGCATGAGAAAACCAATGATGAAAATGATGTGCTTCTTGATAATAGCATTGAAAATCTATTACATATATGTAAACATGCTGATACAAGTACAAATGCGGTCTCGAAGGCATTTAAAGAAAAAAATGAAAGAGAAAAATCAAGTAAAATGAAACATCATGAAGACATTATCGATTTAACATAATACTCTCTTGCATACACGTGATTAATCGTAATAGTATTCCTAATTCATAATTTTTTTATAGTACAGTATTTTTCACTCCTGATCTGATTTGTTGCCCAACTAGTAAATTAAGGGATGTTTTGACAATTGATACGTGCATGTATGCGTGCGTGCGTGCGTAGATATACATCATTATGCAAAAGCAAAAAAAACTATAGTACCTTTATCAATAATAATAACGGAGAACATATATTTTTCTTATATATCGTCGTTGTCGTCGTTGTCATCGTTGTCGTCGTCGTCATCAGATGAGAGGAAATGCTGCTCCAACGAAATTTTCATTATTTCGTTGCCACGTATACGTTTGGATATTAAATTTATGCCCAGCGAAGGAGATTCTGCACTTTGCATTTGGTCTGGCATAAAAACATAGCGTATAAACTGCCATATCTAATTCTGGTAATGTTCCAATGAACATAGTCGACGCTTTATATTGCTCTTTATAATTGAAATGTAATTTTGCGAGTGCAGCTTTCTGGAAAAGGAAATTTCTTTATTAACGAGTATAGTAGGTAGATACGAGAAAGATTTTCATTTTAAAAATAACTGACATTATCGAGAAGAACTTTGCGCCCATAACCGAGATAATTGAGATTATTTAATGATTCTTGCTTAGCAAAATAGATCCAATTGTGTAGGCCGACGATACTGTTATCCTTTTTTTTCTCTACTAAAAATACATGCTCAAATCCTGAACTACCAATCGACCCTTTAATTCGTGAGTAAGGATGAAACCAAATAGACTTTAGTATAGTTTTATACGTTTGCGGATTCATGGCAAAGTATCCTTTTGTAGCAAGAAAATTCATAACCGATGTTATTATGTCCGACGATGCAAGAGCATCAATGAACTCATCCTCCTCCGCGCTTTCTTCTCTCGTCACAACTTCTGTTTTGCTGATATCTAATTCATAATTGTCAAAGAGTTTGTTCAATTTTTTTATTGTCGGGTGTGAGGAAACGTTTGACGAAACTCTCAATAATCTGAAGATAAAAGTATAAAAGTCAAAAGTAGAAAAAAATTAAATAAAAAAAAAAAATAAAAAAGAAAAAAAAATAATAAATTTCCAGATATCCTACGGTTTTGGAGCATTATCCGTTATATTATCTCCTTTTATCCATCCTTGATAACTCACGGTTATATTTCCATAAATGCAACAAGTATTTCTTCGAAATAACTCTTCTGTTATTCGTTGTAATTCCACGTCGCTTATTGAAGAAAGTTTTGGGACATTATTTTGCGACATTACATTATTCTTACTACTTTTATTTATATTATTATTTTGTCCTAAAAGAGTGATTTTGAGTTTATTAATTTAACCATATATTCATAATCTACATAGTATAACTTAATGTATAAGGTAATATCTACCTGTTGACGCATGATAGAAAAATGACAAGTGTACAAAGAGATTAATCAACAAAGAATTATGTCCAATGCAACTTGTCAAATACATCTCTGGGCATAAGGTCGGGCTTTATCTTGAGAAAGGAAAAGGTATACAATAAATGACGAAATATACGTGCTCGCACAAACATACACACACACATATATATATATATATATATATAATATGTATGTACATACATACGTATATAAAGTATTAATGATTATAATAACGCACGTTCTCAAGAGATAGAATTCGCATCGATTCGCACCGTTACCAATCCGTGGTAACCTCAATTCGCAGATTATCGATCCATGTGTTGTGATTAAAGTCAATAATCGATAAATAGTGAAATGAGAAAGAAAGAAAGTGTAAGTTCAACGAGCCAATTAATTACTTGTAAATCTTGAAATACCTTTCTCGCATACGCAAAATATATACGCCTCTGTCTGACGACGGCAGCGATCAAATTCGTAGCGGCGTATCACGTGAGACCGAATGTCCGATTAGAAAGTTTTGAAAGTTTATAATCGTAAACATATCAGCCGATAAAACAGATTTCTTTTTACGCGTCGTAGATCACACAGATCTATGATCTTCCAAGAAAATTTGAATGACTAAAGGAATGAATTTTTATCGTGTATATTTGTTCGAGATTAATATCAATGAACATTGATTTTTAAGACGATTAACGATCAGTTTTCTGATTGCGTTTCCAGGCATCCATAGGCGAAAGGATCATTGCAGCCGCAGGTCTTATTCGACAGACTATATCCATCGATACTTTTTATTCTGGCCAAACTGTGTAAAGCGAATTTATAATAATTCATCGTTTCCGACAGTGGATTGCCCATGAGAGTCAATTCCTCCAAGTTTTTCAACGACGTTAAATAGTCAAGCTCGTTTTCCTTCTGAAAATGATCGATTAAAGATCGAGCAAGAACGTTGGGATTCAAAATTTGTTGTAGTACAAGGTTCTATCGCTTACCGCTATAAGATTGTCGGCTATGTGAAGCTTTTTCAAAGACGAGAGTTTTTGGACGAAGCGCAAATCTTGGATTTTGTTGCTCTCGATCGACAAGCAGGCAATGTTATTATCCTCGTGGAAAGAATCGACGTCCATCGTCTCTATTTTATTGTGATCTATTATTAAAATTTCCAAGCTGGAATTCCTTCGTAAGTCTTGAAACGAGTGGATGAGCCTTATTAATCGATTTTCATATAAAATAGATTTAACGAGAAAATTAAACGAAGCGGAACGTACCGCGTACATTCGCCAATTTATTGTGATGCAAAAAGAGATGTTTCAACGTTGGGAATACGTGGCTGTCGTCGGCCAATGTTATCGAGCCGATACGATTATGATCCAAGTACAAAGTGGACAAATTTGAAAAGCCATAGGCATCGTTCGATTTATCCGGATGTAGGGTCTCCAAACGATTGTAACTCATACGTAAAGTTTTCAATTTCGGAAGAGCATTTAGACTCTCGAGGGAGATAATATGATTTCTACTCAGATCCAAGCTCTCCAAGTGAGGTAACAAATACGACGGTAAATTTATCTGTGAAAGAACGACGGAAAATATTTTCAAAGATTTTTCAAACAGTTTGCTCGTTCGAAAGCGACCTTTTTTATGGAACACCTGACGATGTCCAATTGTCTGATATTCGTCAATTTTTCAGCGAGATTCATCGTCAGCAACATCGTTTGATCCAATATATTACCAAGGACGTTTCTCGCTTCCACGATGCTTGACCTTTCCACGCATTGTCCGGAAACATACTGAGGGAGGAGGTTAGATGGGAAATAAACGAGAAGCGAACTTAGTTGAACGAATTAACGTGGAAAATTATTACCTTTAGATCGATCAAATGAAATATGAGAAAATCGTTGTAAGAAATCGCGGATTCGTTCGGATTGTAGCTAAGATCGACGATTTGTAATTTTTCCCAGTTTTTAAGATTCTCGATTTCGTGCAATCTCCTAATCTCGTTGTGGGCACAATAAAACTCAATTATCGTCTTGTACGAGCCCATCGGTCGCAAGGACGTTATCAGATTGTTCGTAAGATCGAGGCACTTCAATCTCGGCAAGTGTTCCTGCGTAAGACCGTCGAGATCGGTTATGCAATTGTCGATCAGATGTAATCGTGTCAAATGCACCGACGGCTTCTTCAGGTGCACCCGGCCAATCGGGGAGTGGGACATAGGAATGGTCGTTTGTCGACCATCGTAAAGCTCCGCCAAAGTATTGCGGATTACCTTTAGGCCGTAAATCTTTTCATTTACCAACGATTTACCTTCCAACGAGTTATCCTCGGTCCTATTGGGAAAGTATATACCGGTCAATAGGACAATTTTATCGCGTTCGACAATGTCGGAGAAAGGATTTCTTTCAAGGTTCAATGTCTTTAGGCTCGGAACGAATGTTTTCAACGTTTCGAGACTCTTTCTGCATTTCGTCAGACAATTCCACGAAAGGTCAAGCTCCTCCAACGCGAACAATTTTTCCTTCATCTTGATCGACCGTATGTCGTTGAAACTGACGTTCATTTTCTTAACGTGAACGATCATTCGCCAATTTGGAAATTCATCGAGACGATTGTAGGAAAGATCGAGTTCGCTCAAGTTCGGCAATTCGAGTGAATACTCAAGCAGGCCCTTTATACCTTGCCCGGATAAACATATCTTCCTCAATGTCAAAAGTTTCTCCTCGTCGATTCTAAGGCACAACGAGATCTTGCGTTTGGTTAAACGTTCGAACGACGAGGACGCCGGTGGATGCATCATCGCACCCCATTCTATTTTCTCCTCCCTCCTATCGTTCTCGATCGAATCGTTCTATGCGGTACAAGATTTTTTCTTTTTTTCTTTTTTTCATTATACGCCCAGTACGTAACGTACAATGTATGTGCGCTTACAGATATTTCAATACCTCGAATACATATTCGTATTCGGCCACGAATATCGCGTCCGACAAGTTTGCTTCTCTCGTCAGAACGTACATTTGGCACGGTCGGTGAACGTTCTCGCATTGCCTCGCTTTCGCTCGATGAAATTCGTCGGTGTATCGTTCCCTTAACCGCGCGTACGTCGATTCAGATGCGATTCAAGCTGTCACGAATCGAGAAATAGGGATACTTACGTCACGGTACAACGATGAAAAGGTACGCGCAAAAGTATAGAAATCCTTCGTTTCTCGCAGGGATCTGCCTTTGTCTTCTCTCGCTTTGAAAGTTTCTCGTGAAATTTAAGGTCGGCAATGGCCGAACAATTCGTTAGGCGGATTCTTTTCTAGAAAAAAAAGATCAAAGAAAAAGGACAAAAAAAAGAAAAAAAAGAAGAAGAAGAAAAGAAAAGAAAAAAGTACGGCGGTTTACAGATTAGTTTCGCTACTTGTTTATAAAATCCGCGCTTGAGCACGTTCATCGGCCATTCCCGAATACTTCGTACTCCTGGTACAATGGCTAGAAGCTTCGAACCATTCTCGTTTTTGCATAAATCCTCAACTTGATCGTTCCAAATACGATACTCGCTGATCTCCTTGTGAAAAATCTCCGTAACCCGATACAATAGTATCCCCGTTATACCTGTGACACTAATCAATGGGGAACGTTGATGGCAATATACGTTTATGGAAATTCGAACGTCTTACTTATTCGCGAAAGGACACAATGATTCCTCCAGAGTCGTCTGACAAATTTTCATTAAACCCTCGCCGTTGTTTTTATGTTCTCGTAGATATAGATTACCGCAGTGGCGCATGTGCAATTTTAACTGTCGACAAGTGACCTAACGAAAATGATTAATATTAAACGCAACGTTGTATTTACAATGCGCACAACGCGTACTACGGTTTATTACTTGAAAACACAGAGAGGCCATTTCTTCTCTCTCCTTTAATCTTTTTTCCTGACATTCGATGAGCGACGACACTCGTCCCTCCGAAGCGATCAATTCTTCATTTTCTTTTAACGTCACTTGGAAACTTTTAGACTGTTTAACGATAAACGTTACAGGATAGTGACATTGTACGGTCTCACCTGTAATCTCAACGTTCCGATCTCGTGCAGTAACTTCTTAAGGCGTTTCTCCTTTTCCTGATATTTCTCATGTATGTCCTTCAACGACTTGAAATAAACGTTTATATTATCGTGCAGCAACACCTTGCAATGCATCATCTTCTTCCTTACGTAATAATATTTTCACCTTGGTCTCGGTTAAATTAAGGAAATAACGAAAGAAAGATGGAAACGAACGTATACTCGAAAAAAGAATCGATCCAATGTCTTTCCGCGTCGTTTATCGGATAATGATCGAGTCTGTTTATTCGGGGAAGCCAATATATAACGTATGATCGATAATTGCAAAGTCGTGCCATAGGGCAGTCGCCGTAAAGCGGATCGTTAAAAACTACCGACTCCAATTTTTCCAATGGCTGCAAACTTTTTATGTCCTGAAATATAATCAAGAATTGCGGGAAACGAAAATGGAAGAAAGCTAATCTCTCTTTCTCTCTCTCTGTCTCTCTCTCTGGGAAGGGTGAACAGTACCTTTATACGATACAACCGATTGCCCGCCAGATTGACGTACTTCAAGTTGCAATTTTTCGTGAATACATTTGGCAATCTTTTCAACTTGTTATCGGCCAAATTGAGTTCCCTCAGGTACTCCAACTTACCGACATTCTGCCGAATTAAATTCGTGCGAATGCGAATGGTATCCGTTTCGATAGTATCCGTTAATTTAATTATTGATGAGAAATAAAAATGGAAAATATCTCTTGATACCGTTAAACGATCTATCCTGTTTCCCGATAAAGAAAGAATTGCCAATCGTGGGATCTTCGATAGATTTGGAATTCGTTCGATTTCGTTGGAATAAGCGTAAAGCTTTTCCAATTTCGAGCATTCCTTCAAAGGGGATATGTCCTGGAGAGGGGAAAAAAAAGACAAGAAAAGAAAAGAAGAGAGAGGGGGAATGAAAGGTATAGACGGTAGCGGGGGATAGGAAAGTATAACAACACCTTTAACTTGCACTCGATCAGCCATAATTCTTGCAAATAAATAAGTTTCGAAAGAAAGTTCAAAGATATCGGGTCTGCCTGTTGACCGATTATAACCAATGTGCATACATTTAATTTCGTCGAGCAGATGTCGCGGAGCGATAGGTCTTCACGAAAAAAATACGACTCTTGGCGCTTCTTTATCTCCTTAGATTTAACTGAAATGGACGATTAAGGATGGATCTGAACAAATGGACGTATTTCGACAGGAATAAAGGGATTAAACTAAGGTTTTTTACCTTTCGACGATACGTTTTCTTCCTCGACGCGTATCATCGTCGTAACGGCTTCGATGGTAAAAACACAGTAGGCTATGAAAAATCGATCTTATTCCGACTATCGGCTATCGCTTCATTTTTTATTCAATACTCGAATTATGCAGTTGCTACATAGTTTCTTTTTTTTTTCTTTTTCTTTTTCTTTTATTCTTCTTTCTTCTCTCGCTTCCTCCACCCTTTTCCCCTAACCGTACATATTCGTATAGACGAACAAGTATAGGAAATGATGCACATACGAGTTTGCGTAAAGTATCCTTGCACGTATGCGTATTATACATATTTGCGTATGCGTTACATTTCGGCAGTACATGTACATCAGCGGCATAATCTAGCAATCGGTAAATTATTATAACAACGTAGAAATTAAACGTGCCAAATACGAATGCGTACATATGCGCTCTTGTACTCTGTTTTTACGAAGTGTGTAACGCGCAGACTTTCAAACTTGTTGGAAATTTTTCGAAAAAGGGAAAAACAGGAAAAAAAACAAGGAAAAAGAAAAAGCAAGTTCGACTGCTGCACGTAAAATAGAAGCAATTATGCTTCCCATGGTGCATTATTAGTTTGGGAAGTAAAGAAAAAGAGAAAAATATTGTACATACAGGAAAGCGATTAGCTTTCTTTTAGCAATTTGCCGCGTCTGTTGCTCCTTAAGCCGTCCTAGCTTTCGTCGGCCAATATAAATACCAAAATGTTTACAATTCGATCCGTCCAACGATAAAAATGAATCGAATACTTAGCTAATTTACTGTTGGTAAAAAACTTTCTTCTATGTACAATACGATACGTAATCCTAACAATTTGGTATAATACCTCAGAGCCATTTAGATCATAAATTGCGATCTTAGCAAGCGCGTTGTGAGCGTGTTCGAGCGAAACGCGAAAAAAAATGAAAAAGGAAAGGAAGGGAAGAGAAAGAAAAGGAACAAAAGAAAATGAAAGAAAACCCGAACGAATGAATTCTGAGAGATGAATTCAGAATGATTTCCGAAACGATAGAATAACCCAATTGTTAATTCTCGCTTTTTTAAAAACTAACGATACATCGTTATATAAATTTAATTCGTTCGCGTATTCACGCGAAAAAGATTCTTCGCTCTTTGGCAATAATTTACGAGTCACTAGCTCCGAGGCATCTCATTCGTCCTCGATAAAGAAGCGAACGAATCGTAATAGCATAGGGTATGCGAATTTTGACCTTTCTCTACATTTTAATACCTATCTTGAATATATCTTGAAATATTATAGCGAAGCTTTTTAACGTGTATTCGATGAGTTGAAGTTTACAAGTTCTATGTATGTATATCGTGAAATTTTAACCGGTACGAAGGTATAAAAAAATTACACGCTCTCCCCTAGATACCGTAAACCTCGATCGCTTCTTGTTGTTGCTTTTACAGATTTTATAAAAGATTTCCTATTATATTATTCTTCCTCTTCGTCCGCTTCTCTCTTCGCATCACAGCGACGAACATATCTTGGATAATGACATGGCGTATATCCTTACGCAGGCGCAAAGGCTTCGAAAAGACGCGAGTCAAAGGAGCTCCTCTCTCTCTCTCTCTCTCTCTTTCTCTCTTCCAAAATTTCTTCTCGATCGTATCTTCAATTAATTTCCAGATCGTGTCAGTAGAATAATTACGCGACTTTGTACGTAATCTCGGCCGTTGTCTATTTCGAAAGTGCGAAAACAGGGAAATAAGGAAAGACGACATCGTACGAGGAAGCTATCTATGGATTGATCCAACTCTAAGATCGAATTATTCGTTAGGAAAGGCGTGAGATCCATCCAAATTGAAATTGATCCATTGCCCTCAGCCCCGTACAACTGCAGAGCTTTTGAAATTTTTTGTTCGATCTTAGCTAAACCTCGGGATAAACGTAAAAATTTGTCGCTTTATCGATCGCGTCCAAGCGAACTCTCTCCCTCACTCTCGCGATCATATAATTTTGGAATTTATCGGTTTACCCATCTCTTCACAGCCTCCGACCAATCCGTCTCATTTTCATCTTCCTTTCCACCACCGTCTCCCTCCTCTCTATCGCCCCTATCCTGTTCTTGTTCGTTCGATGTGGTGCGCTCGGTTTGCGACATATTGACATTCCTCGCTCTCAATTCGGCCAGAAAATCGTTCTCCTGTTGATAACGACGTTGAAGTTCTTCGCGCCAAGAATTACCACCTCCGCTGCTATCGTCACCGTCTTCACCTGCCTCGAAATCTGCAAACAATTCCGTCCATTTTAAAATAATTATTCGCTATTAAATTAAAATATCTATGCTTTATAATTCTCGTTGAACGTTAAAAATTGCTCTTGCGTGAATCATTTTCGTCGCTCGTTATTAGTCATGTAAAATCACAATGTCGTTGATAATTAGGACGAGTGAGAAGAGCGAGTCGAAACGATAAAAATGTTCTCTTCTCGCCGACTGATACTTTGTACAGTCACGTTGCGAATTAAAAGGAATCTTTTCTTTTTTCTTTACAATGAGTATCTTATTTATAATACTTTGTCTCGATTTCGATATTATTCGATAAGAGGACGAGAAAATGATATCGTGTAAGTACGAGCTCTGCTACGTCTCTCCCGACATACCGATTGTGAGAAGAAATGCGATAGAAATGCGAGATCAAACGGAAGGTCGTAACGCTCGAGACAAAAACACGTTTAAACGATCTGCTAGTTCTCTCAACGCGTAAACAACTTACCCAGCGGTTTTCTGAGAAAACGTCCCGAGTTGTGAGAATGGTCCTCCTGGTCTGAGTCTGCAAGCCACCAGGACACATTCACAGGGGGTGCATCACACACATTCCACAACACGTCTAGAGTGTTATTTTGTATATTTTTAGCACGTCCGACTGTCGCTCGAGTCCACGTTTAAGTATATATTTTTTCTTTTTTTTTTCAAACGTCTACCGTCAGTCCAATTGTTATCAAAGTAAGACTAAGGTTTATCTCCTCTCTATGCGTAAACATAATTCTCGTAATCGCGTGACTCTGTACGATGAATCGATATGAAAAGAAAAAAAAAGAAAAAAAAAAAAAAAAAAAAAAAAAAAAAAAAAAAAAAAAAAAAAAAAAAAAAAAGAAAAAAACGAAAAGGAATATATATGAAAAAGTAATACATATTGTACATCTCGTTTTACAATTGTATCTCCTTAATAGTCTTGCGTGTATTGTAGTCTGTGCTACGACTAGACTAATGTTTTCTAAAAACTATTCTAAGTTAGAAAAGAATAAAGTAAATATTAACTAACAGGCAAGTATACAGAGAAGAGAAGAGAAAGAGAGAGAAGAGAGAGAGAGAGAGAGAGAAAGAGAGAGAGAGAGAGAGAGAGAGAGAGAGAGAGAGAGAAGAGAGAAGAGAGAGAGAGAGAGAGAGAGAGAGAGAGAGAGAGAGAGAGAGAGAGAGAGAGAGAGAGAGAGAGAGAGAGAGAGAGAGAGCAGTCTGAGTAGTATTTACATCAATGAAAAATGATATAACCATGTTCAAACTTAGAAAGCAGCATGTATGTATGTGTGTTGGTAGTCCAGTGTAAGGTTTTGTATTTGCTGTAAAAATTGATATTTTCCATGGTATTCGCTAAGAGATATTGATCCAACGCGTTATTGATAAAAATGATGCATATTTAATTAATTTGATGCTTTTCTCTCTTTCTTCAAGCTAATAAACGTAAATCGATTGAAATGTTTTAAATGAATTTAAAATAAATTTGTAGCATCAAATTAATTTCATGTACATCCTTGAAATATCAATGGTCATTCGGACTCTGAAGTAAAGTCGCTATTTTTCTTTATACTCTTAATCGCTCTAACGTTTTCCAAAGATTTAAACCAGATTAGAATTTAAGTTATAGCAACGTGTTAATAATGAGTATCGAACCATGGCCTTATCTTAATACTTACACGATTTTCTTTCCAAGAAGAAATCGAGCGTCTATTCATTTATTTACTCGTTTCTATAATCGATATATATACATATATATACGCACACACACATATATATGTACATATATATATATATATATATTTATATATGTGTGTAGCATTTTACATGCTGTATAGCATTTGTAAAGTGATATATAAAAATGCCATATAACATCATGCCTGTATATATTTACACACTCATTAACAAATATGAGTATATAGTTTGAAAAATATACGAATGACTAAGTAACCGTTATATTTATTTCTTTTTCTTCCTTTTTTTTTTATAACACAATGTAGATATCGTGTCGACAATAAAAATTTCACGAATCTTTTCTCTATTAATTTGTATACGATTTTTTTTGACGCATTGTTAAGAAAACGTTAAATCGCCAAGTCGCTTCTGAATTATAATAACAAATTTGTTGCTTTATAAATGGCTCACCTGCTCTTCTGTACTCATCCAAAAGAGTAACTCTTTTCAACTTTCGCAAGAGGGGGGGGAGAGAGAGAGAGAGAGAAAGAGAGCGAATTCAACGTTTCAAACAGTATTCATTACTGTCTCTCTAATAATACTAATTGTAAAATAGACACATGCTGCTGAAGAAAGACGAACGGCCGTAGATCTTTAACGAATCTTCGTGTGGTTATTATGCGTGTACACAAACGATTATTCTGAAAAATTGGCAAAAAGAGAAAGCAAATAGATGAAGGAACGCGTAAAAGAGAACGATTGTAATAAAGAGAGATGAGAATTAAAAAGGAGAAAGAAAAAGAAATAAAGAAAAAGAGAAGAGGATAAAGAAAGAAAGAAAAAAAACTATAGAAAGTAAATTAAAAGGTAACTAAAAATTATAGAAAGTGCTCTCTCTCCGAGGTGTGAAGAAATTCATCCATCATCGTATGGATATTGAACTTTGAACGGACTCTTTTGCATATCGAATTTTAAGTGCCATTTGAAACTACAAAAAAATGATTTTTCATTCGTCTTTATCAATTGTCTGCATTACATTGCATTGAAACATACCTGAATTTAATTCCCTGACCAACGTTGACATGGCATTAGTAACACTGTCGGCAGCTACCAACAGATCGTTCCGTAAGGATCGGCCCAAACTATTATTCGCACTGCTGGAACCGCTTCCTGGCAGGCTGTTTGTCCTGAACGCAGACCTGACATCGAAAATCTCTATTTTCTTTGCGCAAAGCCACTTTAAACAGCAACAAATTCAACGGCTATTGCAACATGCTGCGTGATTATTTGCACAAGCATAATCAATCAAACTTTCGAATCTAATATCTTTGTAAAAGAATTCTTATTCCCGTGACGTAGTCACGTGAAAATACTCGTAATAATAAGTGAAATGGCACATAAGCTCTTATCGTTCAAACGTGTCAAATAATGGGCGAAAATAACGGAACTTGGCGTACATGCAGTAATCATAGTGCTTACAACTATATTAATTGTCTAACGGGTAAGATCGTCATATTTACGTATGCATATACATGTACGTATGTATGTATGTATATATGTGTATATATATATATATATATATATATATATATATATATATATATCAATGCATTACTCCTTACATCTCTCTATGTACAAATTTGATTTCTCCAAATGTGCTAGATCTTTATCTACAATTCCTCGATCCTTTACACACCTTATCGTTGCATTATATGCGGATCTAGATAATTTTTGTTCAAATCAATTCAAATTATATTTTATAGACCTATTCGCACCGCACACACACGCACGCATGCACGCTCGGTGAAACGTCGGTGTAAACGACACTAGTCTTTTTTTCCCTATTGTCGACATTTACGATAACATTATTTACGATAACTATGTACACAGTATGCATACGCGTATGCATTAATTTAACTTAAATAAAACGAAAATGACTAAACAATTTCGTAATTATTACGATTAAGAAAGTTTCCTATGTATCCTAATGTTTCGTTTCTATATTATATTTTACTATAGTAAAACTAATATAAGGTAGTATTGTCGTAAAGCATTGTGAAAGGGATAGAAGCATAAGTGACACTAAGCGATTCTTTCCTTTTCTGACGATAAATCGTTAAAATAGATAGAGCGCATATATAATCATATTTTCTGACGTTTACTTGTGTGTGAAGCTAGTACAAAATTGTGCTTGTTAATAGCCCATTGAAAGCTCATAGAAACGGGTATCATTGATAACGTGAACATGCAATAAAAGTACTTATCATTTTTTAATAACCTTATAGCCAGAATATCCAAATATAGCTAGATTAAAAATTTTTTCTTATTATTTCGCAAAAATTCTTTTCTCTTTAAATATTTTCAATTGTCCACTACATTATCGTATCCCTGGCTATAGGCATTATTTAAGTGCCAGTATCTAGGATTCATTCACTGTGCAAGATATTTTGTACAAACTACGATCGTCGCAACACAAGAAATCGACTACATATACGGAAGGGGGCGAAAAGAAAAAGAAACACAATCAAGTACATACTACTGCGTATGTACAATTAAAAATAGGGAAACAAATCAGATACCTAAGAGCAATTGCCATGTAGTAAATAATAATCAACACACATATGTGTGTGTGTGTGTGAGTGTATGTATGTATGTATGTATGTACACACGCACGCACGGACAGACACACAGAGGATAAAAATCGATTTCTTTCGATAGATATTAGGCGAAAATAACATTCTAATTAGCTCCGACATGAATGTGTATACTTATTTGTACGCACTTAAAGAAAGAAAAAACGAGAAAAAAGGAAAAGAGAAAAAATAAAAATATACGAAGAAAGATGTAAGAATTGTTCGGGAAATCTTAATGTTTTTCTATTCGCTGAACTTTCAAAGTAGAACCTAGAATGTTCTGGTCTAATTATTCTACAAATTATTCACTTCCCAACATATTCTCATATTACTTTCTCGTATCGTCGTCGTTTTTTAATATTTCTCGTTTTGTTTTCAGTGTGTTTATAGCATACGTTTTGTACATGCCACCCTACCTTACGTCGCCTCCGACACACGAAAGACTATCTGGAATAGGATTCTGTATTGTCCCAAGCATAGCACTGCTCGACATGTTCGGTACCGACGTCGTTGGTACGGAACTCTGGTAGCTTTGCGACATTTGACTTTGTTGAGTTTGCTGCTGCTGCTGCTGTTGCTGTTGCTGCTGCTGCTGCTGTTGTTGCTGTTGTTGTTGCTGTTGTTGTTGCTGCTGCTGCTGCTGTTGTTGTGGCTGTTGCTGTTGAGGAGTCGTTGACAATGTTCCACCTGGAGTGGCTGGTGCCGATCTGCTACTTGTCACTGTACCAGGAGGTAACGGAGGAGACTTTGTGCTTCTTGGCGAACTGTTTGGCGTTGATCTAGGAGATGCCTGATGATTCTACGAGAAAGTTTTGGCAAGTAGACGAATTGCTTTTCAAACTAGAGGAAAATTTCTTAAAAATAATAACGCTCTCATTCTCTTTTGATCGATCTACATACCTTCAACATTTTCATAAGACCTTCTAATTGAACCATTAATTGTCTCCTGGAATCTTGCAAAGTCGCCAAGTGAGTTTCCAATTCATCCTTTCTTTGTCTCAATGCCCTCAATTCCGACATAAGAGCAGGATTCTCTAATCCTGCCGCCTCTATTTCTTGTTGTCTCCTATAATATAATAAAAAGATAAAAATATTTAGTAATAGAATTAATTTCTTTTCTCTTCTACTTTTTCTTTTTTTTCCTTTTTCACCATAAAAATAATTTATGAGTACGAAAAAAAAAATCTATACATAACACGTGAATCTAAGTTCTTTTGTTCTCGACGAATGATAATATATGTGCGATCGAGTATGTATTTCGACAAAGTATAAATCGTATTTCTCTGTTCTAATATGCTTCGCTATGCAACCAAAGAGACATCAAGCTCAACTGAATGTCGTCATAACATGCGTGACTCTAGGATGGTTCGACGGGATGACTTGGAGGTTTAGGCTCGATATAAAGGAAGATAAACGACACAGGTATACCTTAACCTTGCAATTTCTCGCATTATTTCTTTATTCTTCGCTTCTAACTGCGATATTAGTTCACGTTGCGCTCTCGATGCGTCCAACGATGCCAAATTAGCGTCTGACGGTGTTCTACCCTATATATAAGAAAAAAAGAAAAGAATATAATAATATGGAACTTAGAAAGGAACGTAAAGTAAAGCATTTGTAATACGATTAGATTTCTTAATGGCCAGTACTTACCGCTTGGTCAGCTTGCGACATTCTGGACGTAGTACGAGGCTGTCGAAGTCGTTACGAGATCAAAATTAGTTCTGACACGTTATGATGAATCAGCGGAGTTTTAATCGAATTTGTTAAATCGAATTAACGCTGAAACTTATCTCTCTCGTGCTTCAAAGTACTTTGTGTACAATCGATCGATTATTAAATACACACTTGCTTGTTATACTCGGTTTCGGGGAGAGAATAGAAACAAGAAAGGAAGGAAGGAAGGGAAGAAGGAAGGAAGGAAGGAAGGAAGGAAGGAAGGAAGGAAGGAAGGAAGGAAGGAAGGAAGGAAGAAAGGAAGGAAGGAAGAAAGGAAGGAAGGAAGGAAGGAAGAAAGGAAGGAAGGAAGGAAGGAAGGAAGGAAGGAAGGAAGGAAGGAAGGAAGGAAGGAAGGAAGGAAGGAAGGAAGGAAGGAAAGAAAGAAAGAAAGAAAGAAAGAAAGAAGGAAGGAAAGAAAGAAAGAAAGAAGAAAGGAAAAAAAGAAAGACAGAAAGACAGACAGACTGACAGACAGAAAGAAAGAAAGAACGTACTACTCGAAAAGATAAATAAGCGTTAGTCGACTTACCATGGTCCTAGCTTCTTGTGCCAACCTTTGTGCATATCGTGCTATTAATTTATGTTCGTCGTCCAGTCTTGAACTATCCATACTGAACGATATACCAGAAAAGAAAAAAAAAAAAAAAAAGAACGTAAAAAAAAATTAAGTAAAGCGTGACGTTCTTATGCAAAGTCTCGTAGAAAGCAAAGATAAAAGTGAATAAATAAACCAAGATTCGTCCCAGTTCTTACCTTCTCAAAGTAGATCGGCTATCCATGGATCCAGAATCGAAGGGAGCCATGAAACCTGGATCTGGAAAACCGTTGTGAGATGGTAAAGGTGACGGTGGGCTGCAACGCAGTGAATTAATTCCAATTGCAACATTATATACCAACCATCGAGATATTCTAAATTCTACTCGATCTTTTTTTTCAAGAGACACTCACACTATGTGCGACAAATCCAACGTTTTCTCTGGCTGCTCGGGAAATCTAGGTATGTTGTTTTTCCCCTTTTCGGGAACGCATCTGAAGCTCTTGCGCAAAGAATGGCCAATTTGTTTGCTTGGCGATTTCTGTCGACAGGAATATTATCATTAATTAAAGCGAGCGTTGATGGGTTCATTAACCGAGTCGATCGAACAACAAACTCTACACATATAAAATATAGATTAATCCTAATTGTGCACATCTCAAAATAATTTCTAGTTGTGCATTTGGGCTGCCAATGATACACCTGCCAGACATTTTGAAAAGCTCTCATTTATATGGAATGAATAATTTTGACTTAAATAAAAAAATACTCTAAATTTTTTAAAGTTTAAATAATTAATCAGAAGGTATGAAAACGTATTTTCAATTTTGACATTATAAAAAAAAAAAAAAAAACATCACGAATCATACAATGCAAAAATTTACATGTTTCGTTTAAAAACCAAATCTATGTTCAAGTGATCGTTGCAGAAAGTATAGCTACTTTGTAACTACAAACATAGCTTTTATTTTGAGAAGGAAAAATTACTTAATTATAACTCCATCAATCTCCATTATTTTCTGCTTTTGTCTCCATTCATACAAATTCTCATCTCTACAAATCAACAAAGAATTCATCTGCACCAAGATGATCAGCATCAAGTCCGTGTATGTTCTTAATTCCTAATCTTTTTAGTAAGTAAACGGTAAAGAATATAGGTTGATTTTTACGTACAAAACTACTATACTCTCGGGTTTCGTGATCGTTGTTGTGAGTCCCGGAAACTTTGCCACGCCAAAAGCAATCCTGACACAGTTGATAAGAATGACATTTTTGACATCTGTATCGGAAACCGGTAAAATTTTCCTTGTGACAGGCATCGCACATGATGGGATGAGCCACTGTAACGATTAAGGCTTACTTAAAAATCGAATGGATTGAATGTATTATAAATAGAGTATTTACGTACCTGTTTCAACAGCCGCCATTCTGTGATATAACGGGAGCCAAATCAAACAGTGCGGCCCGGGATCGGACATGAGTGTATCCAAAAAATCATTGACCGTCACTTTGGAATTCTAAAAAGAAACACGTGGAATTGATGGGAATTGCCTCGAATAAAAAACAAAAGAAAAAGTTTACAGGGGGAAAAATGGTGCTCGCGAGACCCTCCGAATATCCAAAGGACGGTGACTCGTAGACCGCTGCCGTTAATGACAAAACCTCTTTCAGGTAGTCGGCGAACCTCCAATGTATCATGTGTCCGTTACCGTCCGATATTTGTGAGTATATATCTAGATGAACATGAGATTAGGCGTCACCTTTGTCTCAAATATTCGCATTTTTAAGAATAAAGAGAGAAAAATAATAGGACGACTTACATCGAAACTTGTCCATGAGCTTTCCAGCGCATAACGTGGCCAATGCCACCTTCACCGAAAATACGGATATCTTATTATTTTCCCTGGAAAAGAAGAAAAAAAAAGAGAGAGAGAGAGAGAGAAAAGTTAAAAAAATAAAAAGGGAAAAATTAAAAAAGAAAAAGAGATCCGTGTGAGAATTATAACGCAGCAATTTGTCGTTTTTCGAACATACCCACTTGTATACGCTGCCAAGAGCCAATTCATCAGTAGAGCCGTGGTAGCGTCGACTTTGGCTTGTTGAGACACCGGCACCCTCTTGTTAAGCGCATGAAATAAGGAAGACAGAAGAGTTTCTAGCCTAGATACTCCCAACGTACTAGACGGCTCTAGAGTATTTAGGCCGTTTTCTCGAAATGCTTCGATCACATTCCATATGTCTACGTTGTGTACTGTAAACAAAGAATCAAGATATCGACCAAATAGACGTCATAATAATTTAATAGCGTTTCAAGTACGAGATCCTTACGGTGAACTTTCTTCTGAATAAATCTAAGCTTGCAAGCCGTACGGTAAGAAGCGAATCGTATGCTGTCAAAGTTTTGTTGGCGCATCTCTTGCAGAAGCTGCAATCTACTGGCTTCACCGCTGCTGCTATTGCTAGAACCTCCTGCAACCTCTTCCGCCATTTTCCTAACAAAGAAAAAAAAAAAAAAAAAAAAAAAAAAAAGGAATTATTCGGACTATCAAATTGCATCTGACATCCTACTAGCGTTCCTTTCATTTGCTTTAGAAAAATATCCCGTTTTTCTTATCTACTCTCTGTAACCGGCTCCTCCTGTTATTCCCTCGTAATCTTCCATTATGCTCGAATTATTTTGACAAGTCGACACGAACGCGATACGGATAAGGGTGAAGCTGCAATTGGGAGGCCTAACGCGAGAGAAAAAGAGGGACAGAGAGGGAGAGAGAGAGAGAGAGAGAGAGAGAGAGAGAGAGAGAGAGAGAGAGAGAGAGAGAGAGAGAGAGAGAGAGAGAGAGAGAGAGAGACGAGAGAGAGAGGGAGAGAGAGATCAGAGTACACACACACACACACACATGCGAAAATCGAATTATCGATCGTTCGAATGGACACATACACACACAAGCGCGTGTGAATTATCAAAAAACATCGTACCAATAAAATATTCGACTAGTAATACGTAGAGCAAAACTTGGTCTCTTTCGAACCTTTTAGTTAATTAATGACGCGCATATCTTTTCCTTTGATTAGGCATCTCGTATTCGCCTTTCATCATCGAGATTCATCATTGAGGCTGATCCTTTGAAAGCAACTGAGAGTGTAGCTTTTCAAGCACGTCCCCCTTTATCTCTCTCCGAGATATATGTACTTAATATTTTACATACATTATATACATTATCCCTTATATACACGCCATACGAATTTGACATATTCTTTCTAGAAAAAGAAAACAAAAAAGACACGGAAAATATATTATTACAAGGACGCGTAGTTTGCATTTGAAAAACTTTCATAGAAATGTGAAGAGAGATACAGATATGGTGGTATCGATATCTGGAAATCGTATCTTTTTGCATGCTAGATGAAAATCTTGCTCTTCAAAGCAAGGACGCTCGTTCTTTAGTCATTATCGAGATTCATAGTTTTTTTTCTCCACTCAAAGGTTATACAATAAGAAATGACGAGCTCTTTCAGTTGGTATATTAAAGCGCACGAGTGACGGCACGGATATTTCAATGAACGAGCGGCGTCGGACTCGCGAACGTCGCGTGCAAAACAAGGAAATATTAAAAATAAAAAATACAATAAAAAGTAGAAAATGATTCGATGAACACGCGCGCGCACGCGCGCACATGACACACACAGACATTGGTATAAATTTTAGAGAATCATGAAAATTTCATTCGTTTCCAAAGAAAAAGACTTTCTTAACGGCAACGAGGAAAGGAAAGAAGATCGATAACTCTGTAGTATATAACTCTGTTGCTCGATCGTTGTCTTGCAGAATAGAAACGGAGACAGGTGCTCTTTTCGACAAAGAAAAGAGACACGATATCTCAATGACAAAGACAAATATCGTCGTTTAGAGAAACGATCAAAGAGTCGAGTTTCTAGTTGAAATGAAACAAAGTCTTTCCGCAACGCGGAATGCATCTCGTTAATTGGAGTTCGTTAAAGCGAGAGAATAGCACGTTAATTGTTTATTCTTGGAAATAGTCGATAATTCCTATTCTCTTGTTTAGTACCATTTAACTTGGCCTCCATAATAGGATATGTTATATTTGTTCCAACATACGATAATAACGTGATTATTATCGTCTTTCGAAAGTCTACTATTCGCTATGTATTTACTCGAAAAAATGAAAATAAAAAGAATTAGAGAGAAACGATCGGGAAAGACGATTCGGATCCTTTGATGTTCGTTTCTATGTATTCAAAATTGGAATGCGTGTGTATACATGTATATCATATTCCGTGAGGTATATTCTTTCAAAAGGGTTGAAAATATCGAGGAAATACTTAAGCGAATCGAGGGGAAAAGCCTCTCGACTCATTATTGTGAATAAATGAGCCGTAAAAATGAGGAGGATCTCCGATACTCGGGGAGTGACCTTCCCTGCGAGTTTCGTTACGCGAAACGCGATACGCGGCAGAGAGTGATGTTTTGCGAAGAAGGGTGAACCACCCTTTTCCATTTCTACTCTCTTCGAATTGTCGACCACTTTTCTTCCGTTTCATTAAGCGCTAGAGCGAACTTGGAATCGTACTTTTTAAAGCTGCCCTATTTCTCTCTCTCTCTCTCTCTCTCTCTCTTTCTCCCTTTGTGCCATCGCGCATATTTAAAAAGTATTTCCCGCCACTTTTTCAATCTCCAACGTATCAGACTTTGTGCTATCTTCGGCGTTGTTAAAAAAAAAAAAAAAAAAAAAAGAACAAACAAAAACTGCAACATGCTCGGTAAAGTCATTGAGCGAGCGAGAGAGGGTCAAAAGTGGAAGAGAAAAAAGAAAAGGACGACGAAGCGACAAAAGAAAAGGGAGGAGGAGAAGAAAAAGTAGAGGGAGGGAAAGGAGAAAGAAAGAAATGAAGCTGAAGCAGGAAGAAGCGAAGGAGCGAGTGGCCAAGTTTGAATCAATACGATAAGTGGGCCAGGTGGGGGCGTATAAGATCGGCCGAGAAGACAGAGGAACGCGGAACGCACGGGAGAAAAGCGTTTTGGTCCGTAGAGAGGAACGCGCGAAATGGGATAGCCGGCCAAAAGGCGCGGCCAACTTTGGATGGAGCAATCCTAGATGCGATCGAGATATACAGGAGAGATAAACTGGCAGAAAAAATCTAACCTATTTTATCCGATCGATTTTCGAACGATTTTCTTCTTCTCTCGATTTCTCGATGCTCGTCTCGATCCTTTATTTCGCTTGAAGAGCCAACTAAATGAACAAACTTTCTCGATATTTTCGAGCACATCAATAAGATTTAATAATGTAAACGTAGAAAAATTGAAAGAAACTTTAAACATTTCCAAGTCTATCTTAGAGACACGACCGAAGAAAAATAGACGTCATGAATGGAAGAGTTCATTGAACTCACGAGCGTATCGTGTCTCGGACGGTATTAAACTTGTATTATCTTTCGAGCTAATGAAAAAAAAAAGAAAGAAAAAAAGAAGAGTCGAGTCTACTATCCGCGAGATAGAAAAACGTTGAGGAAATTGGATTATTATTTCCTTTCATTATTCGGCGCGATTTAGCTTTAACGCCTTTACAAATATACCAATGACATCTTTGGTCTTTCGTCGATTACATATTCATCTATTATTATGTTATTTGCTATCCGAGTTAACTTTGTTCTCCTTAAGACGCTTCCAATATATGCTGTATGCGCGCGTGTAAGTGCCTGCGCGTTATTCGTTTACGAGCAACGACCGACCACTAAATCGCGTTAGCAATATGCATACATAAATCCAATTTAATCGCATTCGACACGACTTACTTTTTTGACGTTAGCGACGCGTTGCTACATATGTTGATAATGAGACGGGAGAGTTTCTTTTTTTTATTTATTTATTTAATTTATTCATTCATTTATTTTCTTTTTTCGCCTTTGCCCTATCCACGCGACAGATCGAAAATCCTGAAAGAGCATCGTTTATCTTATAAATTTAATTTGAAAAAAGATCACTTTAGATCGTTTAGAATTCGTGCGAAAAACGTGAAAAAAAAGGATTTAAAGGAGAAAAAGAGAAAGATCGTGCTGAATAGTTCCTTACGCACAGAGTTGAAAGACTTCTAACCTCTTCTCCTTTTCCTTCGGTTGAGACATTATTCGATGATATTTCTTGGTAAATCGCATCGCTTTCGATATCGATGAGGATAACGACAGGGAGGGGATGGAACGGGACGACTAGGCGATCGAAATGAAAAATAATGCTAGAATGATGAATAATTAGTGTCTCCTATCGCAATCGGTCGAGTTAAAAAAATCGACTCGAGAGATGCTCGAGATTCGTACGCGCAGAGTTGTCGCACCTGATTTTATCGAATTCTGAATTTATACACGTACCTGTATGTGTATTAGTTAGAGGAAAGCTTTGGGAATCTTGAAAACACCGTGCTCACGCTTCCTCTTCCTACATCTATCTTGCTTCGTTGAATGACACGCACGAATGTCGTATCGTGGCGGTGATACGAAAATCACAAGGCAACAACAACCATTGAAAACGTTCAGTGGTAAGAGTAGTCGATCGAGAATGAAAGATCAGAAGGTGTGGATGGCGTTCGATGAAAACCTTTTACGTAGGGGAAACCTTTTAGAAAAGCTAATGCTTTTCGAAGTCGTTTTTCTTTCTCCTTGAAGAACGCTTTCTTGACGAACGAAGAAACAAGAACGTATCGCTTAGTACGAGACAGAGAGAGAGAGAGAGAGAGTGAGAAAGGGAGAGAGCGTTGCGATAAATAAGCGAGCCGGTCGAACGTCAATACGACCCGCGCCTCGGCAGCCCCGCGGCCATCACTGATCGCTCGCGTTCGGCCGGCGATGCCCGACCGCCACGCCGCGCCACGCAACTACGAGTACTTCCGAATATTCCCGACTACCACCGACTATTACCGAATCCTGGCGCTCCAAATTAAACCACGGAACAAGAGGAATCGAAACTTTCCGAGGAAGCCCGCGAAAATCGAAACCAATATACACAATCCCGATCTCCTTCGATATTACATTATTATGCGTTATTATTCTTTTGAAAATACATAAATCCATTCAACTTGTCACTTGTGCATTCTGCTAAATCAATATATGACCGACTTCTTTTGTTTATATGAGATTCTCTTCGAAAATAAATTCTAATTAAGAAATAAAAGCAGTTCGAGAGGAGAAGTTGGAAGAATTACAACGTCCATTTCTTTTTTTCTTATATATGACAATCCTATATATATTTAATTTCTAACAAATTCAAGATACTCTTTAATTAATTCGAAAGAAATTTAAAAAATTTTCAAGCATGAATAATAGTCAACGAGCACCTTATTTGGCAGTTTTCAAATATCGAGAAAACACGTACTGCGTATCAGCCTTTAGCTGCGGTTCTCTGTGCCGCCATATTTGTTGGACATATCATCGAGTTTCGAACGCCTAAGGATCCTGTTGCATATCTTCGCCATCTTTCGCTCGCAAAGCGTATCCGATCTCGGCGACAAATACAAATGAAATATAATGAAAATTGCAAAAAAGAAAAAAATTATAATCTAATAATAAATATATATTACCATCACCGAATAATAATCTCTTTCCTTGAACGGCCATACTCCTTGAACGGTCCGTAATTAGCGTAAAGACATTTATGCGTGTCGCGTTATGAAAGACACCTATGTCAAATATCAAATTTCTTTTTCTATGTTCTATTGGAATATTATTCGTGTTATAATTGAAATAGAAGAATATTTTTTAATTATGGCCATTATTCCACCAAGATATTATACGATCGTTTCAAAAACGTGTGTTTCAAAAAAAGATTCGTAAAAAACCGATGAGATGCTGTAGAATAAAAGCGGCGACGTAATAATTAGCATAATAAAGGTATATTCTTTTTTCAAGAAGGCAAAAACATTAAAATAATTAATCATTTTATCATTTCTATCTATCCTGAATGAATGTTTATTAAAGGATGCAACCAAATCTTCTCTGCAATTCTTTTCTCTAATGCGATAGAGCCTATATAGAAAAATAAAGACGATAAAGATATATAGTATAGAATTGTGAGTGATATGAGAAGTGCGCTAGCCACCCTCTTGCGTTCTACGGCGCGAGCTCTCTTTTTGGCACCGTTCTCTTTATGTTTAAAACATTTGGCACAGAAATGTTGCTGTCCAACCTGAAACTATCGTTCGATGTAACGGTAACGTTAATGAAAAAGGTTCTATTCGTACGGTAATATCTCGATTTGTATCCGATGACTGTTTCGGTCATCGTCATCAAGATTAAACCACTATGCCGGATTGACTAATTGTTTCGTTATTACGCGATACTCATCGCAGTGTTGAGAGAAAATCTATCTCCGCCGACCTAATTTTCCTTAACTGGAAAATGCACGAACGATGATGAATCGTGTTCAAAGTGCTCTAAGTACTCGAGGACGAGAGGAACTCGATATATTTTTACCGTACCGCATGCCAGGTAACGTCGCGCCTTGTAATCGTTTGCAGGGACAGACTGCGTGGGCAGTGAACTAAGAATGCTATGCTAATGCGCTAGTCGAGGACTGTACACAGACTCGTTAGACTGTATTTTGCGGTTAACGAAATAACTTTTAGCGCGACGCAACGCAGACAGGGAAAGAGGGGAAGAAAGAGAGAGACGGACGTATAGACACACACAACACACACAGATACACCAGGATCGTCTTCGTCATCTAACAACGCACGCGTGGAGAACTCGTGCGTTGCCCACTTATAACATATTTCATTTTTCCTCGCAGCGGCTCTATTTTTGAGCCGAAAATCATCGGCTGCGGCTCTTTCTAGCTGTTTCACCAGACGTGGAGGAAGTCTTACATATAACGCGAGACGGAAGAACCGTCGTCTCTTTAGGTATCGATCGTCGGCCGTGCGAGAAAAAGCGTGATCATGGTAAGGATCTCTCTCTCGCTTCTTTCCTCTTCCCCCACTTTCCGTCCTTTTTCTCAAAGACTAAAAGAAAAAACAAAAAGTCATTTATTAATCTATCCGAAGAGTAAAACGTAACGTAAAGTGTTAATACATGTTCATTTATCAATCAATTAAAGGAAGAAGACGACCAAAAAATGGCGGTAATGCGGAAAGCCTTCCAAATGTTCGACACAACGAAGAGTGGTGTCATCGATACCCTCAAGATATCAACGATATTGAACACGATGGGTCAGCTCTTCGATGATGGTGAACTGAATGCGTTGATAGAGGAAAATGATCCCGAAGGTACGGGCAAGGTGAACTTTGATGGATTCTGTAGAATCGCAGGACGATTTCTCGAAGAGGAAGACGCCGAAGCGATGCAGGAGGAACTCAAGGAAGCCTTCCGATTATACGACAGGGAAGGAAATGGTTATATCACTACGGCCACGCTGAAAGAAATCTTAGCTGCGTTAGATGACAAATTAACTAGTTCCGATCTCGATGGCATAATCGCTGAAATTGATACAGATGGTTCTGGAACGGTGGATTTTGATGGTACGCTTATACACTATTTTTTTAACATTTCTACCTTTTACACAGAATTTAAAATGTCTTCAAAGTAACGTGACATAATGTACCTTAAGACATTAGTCACATTTCTATTCGCGTATAATTATTTACAGAATTCATGGAAATGATGACAGGCGAGTGAGGATGGGAAAAGTGAGTCGGTTTCGAAAATGACGATTTCATTTTCTGGAAACATCACAAAAGACCAATATTAACGATAGAGAGAAAACAAGAGAGAGGGAGTGAGTGAATGTGAGAGAGAGAGAGAGAGAGAGAATGTCCATTGGAGAGAAACCCTGTCAAGTTCAGCGTTCGTTATACTAGCGTAATTTCTTAATAAAACGATACTTTATCTAGTTAGAAAGAAAAACTACTTCAGTGTACCCTGAAACGCGTTAAATCTCGTGTTAAGATCCATATTGGAATTTACAATAGATATCGGAAAAGAATTCTGTCGTAATATATTTTTATGACAATTTATTTATTGTGCTTTCTCCATATTAATCATTCCCTTTTTATCTTTTTCGTATCAAGCGGTACGCGCACACAGAGGCAAACAAATACACACGCAAACACTCCGGTAATGCGTGTTATTTTTAAGTATGACATTGATCAAATTCATATTGCTACGATATAATACACTAGTCACAAGTATTTTGGTGATGGTATTACTGGTTGATCGTATTGGTCAGTTGACCCTCGTGTTTGACGTCAACATCACAAACGTAAATGTTGGAAACGGCAAGAGCACCGGGAGTAAGAGGTCTGTCCAATGGATAACCGTAAGGCTTGCCGTCGAGGGAAATGGCACCACCAATGATTTCGGAAATCATTTTGTTCTGATAATGGTTATCGACTTGTTGATCCTGAACAGCTTGGCCGCTAGTTTGATAAATTCCTTGGTATCCACCGGCGTGCGTCTGTCCGCTGCTATAATGTTGCGCCGGCCCTTGTTGTCCTTGCCAAACACCGTGTTGTCCTTGCCAGTGGCTCGTACCGTACACACCACCTTGTACACCACCTTGTACACCACCTTGTACACCTCCTTGTACACCTCCTTGTACACCTCCTTGTACGTCACCTTGCAGACCTACTTGTACTCCTCCTTGTTGTCCTCCTTGTACTTGTAAGCCTCCTTGCGGCTGTCTTTGTACTCCCGCTTGTACGCCTTCTTGTACGCCAAGTTGCACGCCAGCTTGCACACCAGCTTGCACGCCGTGTATAGGTACGACACCTTTGACATCGTTATTCATTATTTGAATGCCTTCTTGTACGCCACCATACATACCTTGAACGCCAGATTGAACTCCGCCCAGAACGCCGCCTAAAACACCGCCCAGAACGGTCGATTGTTGCTGTCCGCCGTTAGGTGTCTGTTGTTGTCCATATTGGTGATACTGTTGAATGTGCCCATACTGATTAGCTTTTACTTGGGTGTATGGAGTTTGTCCTTGTTTCGCGTAGAAACTACCTTGTTCTGTGCCAACGGCTGGAAATAATAAATTTTTTATGCGATCAAACTTATCCAGTAGCGTCCAACTTGATCTTTTCTTCACGGATAGGATACTACCTTCGATAAATTGTTCTAGATCATTTTGCTCAGGCAAAACTTCCATGGTTGTTTCCACACCGTGTATCTGTTGCTGTCTCTGTTGCTGCTGGTTCTCTTTAGCTCCTACTATTTGGTAATGTTCCTGATAATTCTGGTATTGTTCTGGGATAACTGGTCCGTAATTCGGATTCTCCTGTGTTATCGACGCGGAGATCACTACGAGAAGCTGGAGCGGTAAACCTTTGGAAGTACCCTTGGGAAGAGATAGCCTGGCAGGGAAACCATAGACGTGCTGTGGCTGTAAATATATACGAGGGATCGTTATAATCTAGCACGTTCATTTGCCCTTATTTCATTATTAAAACAAATCATTACTTTTGTAATGTATAATGGCTGCTGAGAATTAATGGCAGCGTTTACACCTTTTTGAATAGCTTGCGTCGATGGATAGTCGTGGCTTTGTCCTGACGCCTGTTGAGAGTTCCTAGATATAATATTTTGCCCTTGTTGCACTGTAAATCAAATCATATGTGAATCATTTTCTTCTTCGTTGTAGAAAATGTTAATGAAAATGGATATTTTTATAAAAGACCTTGGATGAATTTCATACGTACGGTCTTGAACGAATTGGTCGAATTCTACAAATAATTGTCTGTGTTCAGAAATGCTAATTGGTTGTCCTTGATTATCGTATTTTGGTCCAAGATAAACGCGAACAACGGCACTGGGGATGTGACTCTGACATTGAACGATGATCTGATAATTGTACGGGTGGTGATCTAATCTCATTAATTTAGCCTGTATAGTTGATTCTTGCTGTTGTCCTTGCTGTTGTTCTTGCTGTTGTCCTTGTTGTTGTCCTTGCTGTTGACCTTGCTGCTGTCCTTGCTGCTGTCCTTGCTGCTGTCCTTGCTGCTGTCCTTGATGTTGTCCTTGCTGTTGTCCTTGTAGTTGTCCTTGCAATTGTCCTTGCTGTTGTCCTTGCTGTTGTACTTGCTGCACGCCTTGTTGACCAACCTGTCCACTTAGAATTCCTTGTCCTTGTTCTTGAACGGTTGCCTGATTAAGGCTCACGTAATACTCATCGAAGAAAGTCGTCAATGGAGAGACATCAACGGATTGAATTGTAACGCCAGGAAGAACGAGATCGTTGTATTGATATGGTGACAAGGAATTTTGATAGCGCTTGTAGAGATTGATTACTTTTTGGTAAAGTTGGTAGAAGGCTGGATCGCGAACGGATGTCTGGGGAAGTTCCAAAACGGACGGCGTGTAGTCGTAAATGTTTTTAACATGGGGAGCATTGCCAAGGAGATGATTAGCTGCTGCTTGAAGACTGCCATAGTATCTATTTAAGAGGAAAAAAAATAAAGAAAAACAAAAAAATATACTATTTCAATCTGACTATTTTCATAATATAAAATCTATCGTATATCGACGAACCTTGGATTTACACTTTTCCCATTTCCTTGAATCAATTCGGCAAGTATGTTTAAGCCTTGCGGTTGGTAAAGGGATAATAAGCCACCTTGTGCAGTTTGAACATATCCAGAGTCGATGGCTTCAATCAATCTCTTTTCCAAATCCTTCACAGTCTGGCTCAATTCTTGCTGTTGCGAGCCTTGTTGTTCAAGATTCAAGTATTCTGGACGGCCGGGGAATGAGAGACCATTGGGATGTTGAAGACGAGGCTCGAACGGAGCCTGTACGGTAACGTAGTCGAGTTGATTAATTGGATCAAGTCCGTTGGCAAGGCGGTTCAATTGGTAATGGGCCAAAAGTTGTTGGTGAAGATAGGCGGATTGAGCTCCTGCACCGATAGGACTGTCTTGTTCTGACCACTGAATTCCGGAACCTCCTAATTGATAGTAATGTTGCTGTTGCTGCTGCTGCTGATGCTGCTGCTGCTGCTGCTGCAGCTGCTGCTGCTGCTGTTGCTGCTGCCGCTGCTGCTGCTGCTGCTGCTGCTGCTGCTGCTGCTGCTGCTGCTGCTGCTGCTGTTGCTGTTGCTGTTGTTGATTCTGAAGAAAAAGAAAACAAAGCAAAAAAAAAGAAATGCTTTATTAGTCAATTTTAAGTCTAGGGAGATTTTCAAAGTAACAATTGACAAACGAGCACGCTTACCTGTTGCAGAATATTACTAGCCAAATGAACATAGGTATAGTAATTTGCAAGTCCAACATCATGCGTGAAGTAAGAAAGCTGATCTTCTCCGTGAGGCAAGTATGCGGTTTGGTTGACAGGAATAACAACATTTTGAACGGTTGAAGAGTGAATAATTTGCGAATTGATTTTTTGTGCTTCCTGGATGATTCTAGAGTCAAAGTAATATTGGGGAAGGATTTCGTATAATGGAGGTAAAATTACCCCCTGGGTGTCTTGACGTTGTAAGACGGCAGCGATGAAGGCCTATTTTATCAGGCAAAAAATCGTTTCGTTATTCTACATGAGATATTCTATATAAAATTCGTATTAAAATGTTGAAATATACCTGGAGGAATTGTCCTTCGTTGACATTAACGCGAGCATAAGCGGCAGTAGACAAGAAAGTTTTATAATCGACGGCATCCAAAAAGATCTTCAGAAGGAGAGATGCTTCCTTGCGCAATTGAGCGACAGAGTTGGAAAAGGCAGTGCCCTTAGGCTGAACCAAACCAGCTTTAACGACATTGCCGTAATACTTGGCGATTATCGGATTTTGATACATGTTGTAGTTTGCAATAATGTCATAGTTATGGCCGAGTTGATTTAGCTGCGGGTTTGGTATATCATCCTGAGTGATCTGTTCAAGAAGATCGATGCAATTTTGCTGCTTCTGCAAGAGTTCTTTATTTGCTGTAATTAAATAAATACATTTTTGGTGATTTGGCAGTTCCCTTAAAGTCGAAAATAGATAGATTTTTAAGCGGTCTTATAATGCATTAGACTTGTTCTTACGGGTAACATAGTTTATAAATAGTCTCAACTATTATAACGAGTAAATAATAATTATTTCTTTACTTACCAGCACGTTGTTTTTGCTGCGGAATTGTAGCTGCCCCGAGGGCCACGAGCGCCAATAAAAGGAATGTATACCGCATTGTGTCTGATACAAGATTGCGTATGCTCACGATGGGATTATGCACCACTTTTATACCTAAGACATATCTAAAAGTGCTCATAATCGGTGACCTGGTAGGGTCAAGCTTTTCTGACCCCCGATGTCCCCCACGATTTCATTATCTAATAGCGATACCATCCCCCGTTTACATTACGCGAAACGCGTCTGACACGGCCGATCGAAGGTTAAACCGTGATAATTATATTATTCCCCAATTATATCGGGTTACGCTCTATCTCGAGTTGCTGCATTTGCCATTGCTACCGGCTTAGGGTATCGCGAAGAAAAGCCCACGTGGGGTATCATCAATCGGACGTCATTCGACGCTCGACTCTCCAATCACCGAGAGTCTGGTCTTTTCGTTCCAACAATTTCGATCTATTTCAATTTTTAGAATCCGACCGATTCTAACCTAATAAAAGGTGCTCGTTTACATATAACTTTTATATAACTTTCCTATTTTTATCGATCGACCTGATATCAAATTTATATCAAATATTATAACGTTTTCTTTTCTTTCTTTCCCATTATAAAATTCCCTTCTTCAACGATGGACATTGAAGAGGTATTATTAAGTCGATCAGCACAGATGCAGAAAATCCTAAGAAAAGCTACATTAATTCCCTTTTGTAAAACTAAGGAATTAAGAGAACAGAGCGGACATACTTAAACATTAAACGTAAGGAATAATTTAATCGATAATTAAATTGTATGCATGTACATTATTTTACATGATGATATATTTATGATGTAATCATTATTTTAATTAAAAATTAACGGTCCTTATCGATCTCGTGGGTTCAACGTATCATTAGCACATGTATAACATGAAGACATCTTAAATTTTGCAATATTTAGTTATCTGAATCAGTCCACGAAAGGATAATAAAAGCCGATAATACTTAACGAACTCTCAGGTGATTATGGGTCTTCGGTCAGGGTTATCGTCTTGTTTTGCTGTCCCGTTGACAAAGTACATCGTTTTATGTCCTTGCAAGATTGCAAATCGAGATTGATTCAAGATTGAGTCAAGGACGAATAAAAAAGGTGACGATAATTTCGACCAAATTGAAATATCCATTATTTAATATACTTACATGATTTGGAAATATTTATATGATCGCTAAATCAGCCGCGCTATATTACAATATTAGTCAAATGTTTTAGTCAGCTTTGTGTTATTTAATGTATCTCGGGAGAGAAAAAAAGTTGCCCGAGAGCTTTTTAAGATGCCTCAGCAAAAAATAACGTAGTCGAAGCGACAAAATTCTAAAAAGAAAGAAATCAAACTTTTTTCTTTTTTCACCTGTCTTTAGTTTCTACGTCGGATTGATTCGTTAACGAAAATCTAGGAGAAAAGATCTAGAAAGAAAAGGAGGAAAATATTGACAAAGGATAAAAAAAGAAAAAAAGGAAAAAAAAGGAAAAAAAAGAGAAAACTATTACATAATCGTAGTATTTTCTCCAAACGAAACATAATACATCAATATTTTATACAATCGTTTATATTATCATATTCGTTTAATTATTCCGTAATCGTCGTTATATTTTTCCATCAATTCGCCGACATGCTTAATGTACATGCTTAATGTTTGGCCGCTTCTTTTGAATTGCCTTTCTTGCTTCTCCATAGCTTCCCATTTTACCTTTCCTTTCAAATCGAATGTACATTGGGCTTCGCTGATATTCCCTGCGATAAAATAGATAACGTTTAAAATAATTAAACTCACAATAAAATAATTGCGAACGAAACGGTTTTGTAATAATGGAAACTCCCAACAACTTACTATTTTGTCTATTGCAATCTCTATATTGTAGCTTGTTTGTAAAGGGCATAGAGTTCCAAGAATTCTTCGTCGATAGGACGAAGCTTCTTTTATCGCTGCTTCGAATTTCTAGAAAATTCTTCGTTCTTTAATACGTTATACATTGTTTTTTTCGCGACATGCACCAGCAGTTTTTATATGTTAAGATTCCATATGTTAACTAACGTAAACGATTAGGGATGAGTATTTTCTTATCTTGAGTGAGTTTCTGTAGCTTCTCTGTACGAGCGTCGTGCAACCTATTTCTTTGCATTCGGAAATGTTCAAAAAATCTAAGCATCAGCTATTTACGCACACTTTATCAATTGCAACTTCACCGACTAGATAAACCATTCCGTATATGAAAATCAGTAGTGGGGCTGCTGCGAGCTTTATCTCTTTTGTCGCAAATTTCAAGGGGCGTAGGAGTACTAGTAACTTTTTCTTCGTGAAAAATGTCGAAAACAGCATTTACGTCATCAATGATAACAGAAGTAATTTTTAACCAATTTTGATGAACAATGGAGGAAAATTTTAAAACGTAAAGCTCAATTTACTGCGTTATTCTGGCGGAGTTTTCTGAAAAAGCTTTCTATTTTTGACATAGGCTATTTTCGAAAAATAGCAAAGTAGCAAAAGAAAGAGAAAAAAACCGATGAAAATGCGCATTATCATAATGACACGTAAACTTTGCATCATTTTCTTCTTCACATACAATCGATATTTCTTATAAATGATATCCCTACTACATATATATATATATATATGGAAAATGAAAAATTATCGGAAAGAATTGATTGTCTTCGCGTAGATCCTCGCCAGATCGATCGACTTCTTGCGTTCGTTGTCTCGTACCAGACTTGTGACGCGGTATTTCCGTAAGGAAAAATTTCTTTAAATCGACTTACAGAGAACCGGTCTAATAGCGACGAGAGGAGTTATTCGAGCGAACGAGGCCAATGTGCCACATCATCATCCCGGAGCTCACTCACCTGCGCCCCAAGACTCCACCCCTCCCCCCTGGAATTCTTGGCTCAGCCTTCAGACTTTCTCGCTCATAAGTGTCATAACGAAGCGATAACGAATGAGTTTTCAATTGTCCACCATTTTCATATCCTTTTTCCATCTCGAATCTTCGATAAAAATTTCATCGATATCGAATTATCGAGGGAATTCTCAATGGAATAACACGAAAATGTATCTACAATGTTCGAATGTGTTTAAAAAATAAAGATAGAGGAAGAAATAAATATGAAACGACAAGCGTGTTTAATGGCCTTCCGAAAAAATTCCGAACGTGTCATGTAGGAACGTGTTTCGAAGGAACGGAAAGGAAAGCGTATTTTGATACCTTCCTAACGCAACGGACCTCGATGGAATGTTCGCTTCAAGGTAAGAAAAAGAAATGAAAACGGAAAAGTACATATTACATATGGAGAATAATTTTTGGCAGTCGTTATTTTCTTTTTTTTTTTCTTTTTTTTTTTCAAAATGAAAATAGAAAGGAAAGATATTTAGTAGATGCACTTGTAATATTCTTTCGTCAAATACAACTACATTCGTATTACAATCGTACTTAGAGAATAAGTAAATGTGCTTCTTGAGAGTTTCTCTGCTTTCTCTCCCTCTCTCGCACAGACGCAACCCACACGCAGGCACGCACGCTCGATTCGTTCGCAAATGGCGGAGCATTCCGGAATGCGATCGAGCGGAGCTGCGGATGGCACGAGAGATTGGCTCGTCGCAAACGATCGTATACTATGATGACGCACGAGCGAGTGAACGAGCGAGCAAAGGTTTCACCGCGACGCGTAAAAGCGACCGCCTTAGTCGCGTCGTTGCACGCATCAACCGACGCTCGGTTACGCTCGGATTTTCCTTATGTCCGTTCATTACTTCGCGTGCTTTCGCAAAGCACCACGAGGTACCCGCGGCCTTGACTTGCCATATTTTCCATACAATCGAACGAACTGTATAATAATTATTATTCGCTGGATCGGACAAACGCGAAAGTTTACCGAACGTTCAAGTGTGCTTCGATAATAATAGGATCATTTTTCTTATCGCGTCTGCGACGTGAAACTCTAACTAGAATCTACAAAAATAATAACGCAATCATGTTCGATGAAAATCCAAAAATGAATAGATCAACGACTTATCGCCGTTTATACGATGCCACTCGTTCGTTCTTGTCAACGTCAAGAAACGTGATATGAGAAAGATAAAGAAACCGAACGAAATAACTAAAAGTATAAGCAATCGACGTTTTATATATACATATGCGCGTTCGTCAGTGTCATGATCGAGATCGATGAGACGAGGACATGAATTTGATAAGAAGCTCCAAAAGAGATTCCCTTCGTGGATGCGAAAAGGTGTCGGACAAAATTCTTTATCCGACGGTAAATAGTTTGGCCTTGAAGAGAACGAGATTACCGTTGCAACTTCACGATGGTGGTACGGATATCGAGACGCAAGAGGAGATGAAAAAGGATTCGGGGCCCCATTGGGAAAGCAAACGAACGGGTTTGATGGTACGTACAAATACAAAGGAAGACTTTTTTTAAAGTGGCAGGAGCTTTTCTCTCTCTCTCTCTCTCTCTCTCTCTCTCTCTCTCTCATCTTACTGTCATTCGCCAGCCCGGCCATTCTTCTTGCGCAAACGGTTAACCGCGATTGGTAAACACCGTTAAAACTAATATAAGACGTAAGCGGGCTGCGTTATTACGCCATCTTATCGCGTGCCTTTCCTCTTATCTACCCTCCGATTTAATCAGTAGCTGTGGAATGTTCGTAACACAGGATCATAATCACTTACATCGTTTACTTTTGTTAATCACATAATCGATTATTTTCGTTAATGGCTTCTCGACGAGATTAGACGAATTCTTTAAATTTTTTGGACGAATGTTCGGCAACTGTGTAATGCCACTTTCTTTTCCAACAATAGCAATGAGAACGGATCGTCACGAGTTACGGAAAGTGTGTTCCGTTTTCTATCGATCTATGATAGGTATATATCATTTTGAAATGGAAGATATCTTTTTTTTAATTCCTTCGATTTTTATTCCCAGAGACTCAATTAGGGACTCGAACGTTTTTCGCGGTAATATTTACCGAGTCGACGGCATAATTGAAATTTATTTCTTATCTAGGCTAAAGACAAGGGCAATCCATTCCGAAAATACCGCGCAAAAATTGAAATGATGGTCGAAAGACGAAACGAGATATTTGAGAGTGCCGAATCGGCTGAAATCACCACAAGCATCTTAACCGATAGCGAAAAAGACGATGAGCTATTATATTCTTCGACAGAAGAATATAAGAAGGAAAGAATGGCCGACTGGCCATTGGAGAAGAAAAAGAATGAAAACGTTAAAGCAAATATTCGAAACGAGTGGAATGACTATTCGAGCGTTCTCAGCGGGAGACGTTGCTCGTATTCTTCGGAGGATTACGAAAAAGTCGATGTTAAAAGTCAATGTTACCCGGAAGTCTTCGTAGAACGTGACTTCGATGTCAACGAGAGCTTTCACCGCAAAAAGATCACGGGAATATCTAAATCGACGTATGATAGAGAATCGATATTATTTTCCAGTGACGAGGAAAAAAGTAGCGTACGGAATAATAAGAAAAAGAAGAAGAAGAAGAAGAAAAAGAAGAGACAGTTTGCTAGATACGTACTGCACTATGTACCAGGATATCCGGGCAAACGTCATAAACAACCAACGAAAAAGAAGAAGAAGCATTATCGCTTCGTAACGTCGTTTGACTCACGGGCGAGATCCTTGGGCGAAGAGGATGAAACGAGTATTGAAGAGAATCAGGAGTTTTCGCGACCGAGGAGTCTCTCGAGATTCGAATTGAAATACGTCATGATTTCGGCTCCATCGAATTTTGTTCACGTTGCCTCGGCTACCAATACGCGCTTAATGTCCAATGAAAAGATCGCCAGCTCGAAATTAGAACAATCGATTATCACTCACGAAGAAAAATCCGCTAATTTACCTCTTCTCCTACGAGGGAAAGAAGTTGACAAAAGTATTAATCGGCTTATCGGCGAAGAAACGCCTATGGAAACTTTACGACGTACGTATCGCAAACTTATGCCTGTCGCAAACCTAGCTTGAACTTTCCTTTCCAACTGCTTTTCCACCAGTCTACTTCTTATTTCTAGACGTCAACGAAGGTAGAACGCCTTACGTAGAAATAAAAAGGACGTCCCTAGGCAATGCAGAGGAGCATAAGGGCGAACTCGTAGATCCTTGCCGATCGGTGAAAATCGAAACGGACGATCGCGAGATGAGAATTTCTTACGAACCTATATTACGCACCAATGTTAGTTTTCTTTGGAGCGATCGAACGAGAAATTTCTTGGACAACAAGAACGAGCAAGCTCGACTTTCTTCCTCGCTTGTAGAAAAGGATGAAGAAACGTTCGCGGGAACGTTCGAAGAACCGTACGACGACGTGGGACCACCGCTGTCCAAGTCCTTCTCTCAGGTAGCGCAATATCCCTGTTTCTTTCTTATGCTTTTCTTTTTTTTTTCTTTTTTTTTAATTTTTTTATTTATTTTCTTTTGCCCCTTCCCAACAACAATGATCGATCGTAGTTTAACAAACTCTATTCGTTAGGAAGACGATTACGACGATGTGGGACCACCGCCGACATGCTCCGATGAAAATACGCCTGGCGATGAAAAATACACGAAGGATGACACGTATGACGACGTTTTGGTTCCATTTTTAAATAAAATCGAAGAAAAAGTTGAAACGATATTGGAAGATGATGAGAGACAAGAAAGCTCGATTAACAACGATTATTCTAGTCTCGAGGATGGTGAGGATGAAAGGTACATTTACGATGACGTTGCTGTACCCATTGGCGAGGAACGCGTCAATAGTCTCTATGGGGATTCCATGGCCGCCTCTTTTATGGGATCGGTCCTGACGAACGGCAAAGAATCTGAATGGGAGGACGTGGACGATTTTACGAACGCATTGCCTTGCTACTGTCAACATGACTGCACATGGTAAAAAATCATTGATCAAAGAACATAGACGAGCATTTTGAAATGATATAAAGAAACGGTTCGGTGTCGAAAGGATCGTTTCATGTTTTCAGTGAAAAGAATGGCGAACGGTGTAATACATGGAGTAAAAAGAAGACTGGACAACGGTCCGGCAAAAAGTGGAAAAGACGGCGTTCGAGAAGATGTAGGAAAACTTCGGCTTCCTCCGTGCGAACTCGCCACGACTCTATTGTTGACGGTAAGTCTATGGAGGAACTAAATATTGCTTTTACGCAATGGCAACCTGTGTGTACAGTCCGCGCGCGATATGAAATGCCCGCCAATGTGGCATAGTCCAACCGAGTCTCCAATCTCCTCTCTTTCTCTCTATCTCTCTTTCTCTCTCTCTCGTCTCCGTCTTAATTGCGTCACAGCGAGTTCGCTACTGTTGCTCGCTCGATCCAGCTATTTTTTAATTATCATAATTATACGAAGGAAGAAACGAGAAAAAAATCTTCCCAATCGACTAAGCGAATGTAGAATATCAATGCACGTATAGAGTGGAAACGACAAAGGAAATAAAACGAAAAAAGAAAAAAGAAAAAAGAAAAAAGAAAAAAGAAAAAAAGAAAACTCGAGACAAAAGAAGACAGGAGCGCACGCAGAATGGAAAACGTAGTGGATTGGTCCGGCATAGAAGGTGAAAGCGCTTCTTGTGCGCTCTCATTGTCAGTCACGGCTGAACCGAGCTCTGCGTCGCGAGGCTTTCCATATCTCTCGTCGTTTGGGTTACCAACAGATTGTGCGCGTTTCGTCTTCGCTTCAGTTTCATTCGAGCTGGTATTAAATCTTGGTGCAATAGGAAGCAAGCAATCGTTCATCTATATATATATATATACGTACATATATATATAGTTATTTTCTTCTCTCTTCAATTCTAACGCTCGTGAAAGTTTGAAATTCCGAGATGTCGTGGAAATGAGACAGAGTCTAAGGACGCTCTCACGACGGCCGAACACGCAAGGTAAGAGAAGCCGTGCGAGAAGAATGTGACTCGACGCGATTCCTCTTTTCTTTCTCTTTCTCTCTCTCTCTCTCTCTCTCTCTCTCTCTCTCTCTCTCTCTCTCTCTCTTTTCTTTCTCTCTCTCTCTCTTTCTCTTTTCTTTCTCTCTCTCTCTCTCTTTTCTTTCTCTCTCTCTCTCTCTCTCTCTCTTTTCTTTCTCTCTCTCTTTTCTTTCTCTCTCTTTTCTTTCTCTCTCTCTCTCTCTCTCTCTCTCTCTCTCTCTTTTCTCTCTCTCTCTCTCTCTCTCTCTTTTCTTTCTCTCTCTCTCTCTCTTTTCTTTCTCTCTCTCTCTTTTCTTTCTCTCTCTCTCTCTCTCTCTCTACCCCCCCCTCGTTTCTGTCTTTCTCGACGAATGGAATTTCGATGGACTTCTTGCAACTTTCTCGACGGTATTTCTACCTTTCTCGCATTAAGAAAGAAATGCATATATTTTTTATAGTCAGCCAAGTAGAAAAAGAGGAAAAAATAAGTAATCGCAAAGGTCACGGGCTTCGACGCTATCGCCTCGATAACGACCTTGACATATCTCGAAAGATTTGAGAATCTTGGGCAAAATATATCGTAGAAATGTTCTAGTCATTGTTCTTCTTTCTTCGCGACTGTCCCTGTTGATTATTTGGGAAAAA